TTTGGGCACCCGGAAGGGGCGACCTTGGGAGTCAGGCGCGCAGTAGTTCTGCAGCAAAGGACCCGATGAGGTAGGAGGCCCTGCACTTGCACCGCATGGCCCATGCTTCACCCCATCCTCCAGCCCCAATCCCCCCCTCTCCTCCTCCTTGCACCCCGGACCAATCCTGCGCTCCACACAAACGCACACACACACGCTCTCCCCCCCCAATCAGCCTCACCCTCTCGCGCGGCCTTCAGGTCATGGATGCTCATGGCCATCATGGTGGTCTCCTCCTCCTCCACGTCCACGTACTCGATGGCCCCCGCCTCAATGAGGCTGTCCCAGGAGAAGCCCGTCTCGTCGCGCGCCTGGAGGGCCACCACGTCGCGCTTGCGCACGCGCAGGCGCCGATCCTGGACGATGAAGAGCGGGCGGCAGCAGCGCCCCGCGTCGGTGGTCAGGCGCAGCTCGCGCAGGGGGATGTCGTGCACCACGCCCACCTCGGTCTCAATGTCCACGTGGCGGCGCATGGCGCGCAGGCGCGCCACCAGGTCCCCGGGGTCACGGTGCACGCCAACCCACACGCCGTTGACCAGGATCTTGGTGGCGCGAGCCACCACCCCGGGCGCGATGTCCTCCAGCGCCTCGGTGGCGCACTCCTCCAGGAACTCCAGCAGCGGGCCCGCCGCGCAGCCGACCGACACGTAGGTCATGAGCGCCAGGTTCTTGACCAGCCCGCAGGCCTGGCCCTCGGGCGTCTCGGCGGGGCAGATCATGCCCCACTGCGTGTTATGCAGCTGGCGCGGCTTGGCCAGCTTGCCCTCGCGCCCGATGGGCGAGTTGATGCGGCGCAGGTGCGATAGCGTGCTGGCGTAGGTCAGGCGGTTCAGCACCTGGGTCACGCCGGGGCGCAGCTCTCCGGGCCCCCCCAGCACGCCCCAGTTCCCCGTGGCCAGGCTGTACTTCAGCCCGCGGCTGATGGTGTCCTTGTTCACCGCGGCGGTCAGGTTGATCTCGCGCCCGCGGTCCACGCAGCGCTGCACGTGCGCGCGCGTGTCCTTGCCCAGCTTCCTGAACAGCGCGCGGAAGAGGTTGGCCAGCAGCGGGCCCCCCAGGTCCAGGCGCTTGTTGCCGTAGTGGTCGCGGTCGTCCTCGTCGCGACGACCCAGGGCCACCAGGAGCAGGCGGTGGACCACGTAGCCCAGGAAGTAGGCCTTGCGCGTCTCACAGGCCGGCTCCATGGAGATGTGGGGCAGGAACTCCTTCTCCAGCAGGTCGCGGGCGTAGGCCACGCGGCGCTCGCGCGTGGCGCCCACGGTGGTGCCGCGCTTGCCGATGTAGTCCAGCGCCACCTCCTGGTCGCCGATGGGGAAGGCCTCCTCGATGCTGGGGCGCAGCGCCTCCAGCATCGCGTCGTCGCCAAAGTCGTACACTATGTGCTCCAGGATGTCGCGGTCCGCGGTGAAGCCCAGCGCGCGGAAGACCACGAGCAGCGGGATGTCGGAGCGGATGTAGGGCAGCGTGGCGCGGATGCACTGCCCCGCGCCCTTCTTGGCCCCCGCCCGCGACAGCATGCGCACCGACATGGAGCTGCTCGCGCGCACGCTGCCCTCGCAAACCGACCGGCACTCGGCCTGGAAGGCGTACTTGGACGGCTGGCTCTTCCTGAACACGTACACGTGGTTGTTGGCCATGCGCTCTTGGGCAATGAGCACCTTCTCCGAGCCGTTGATGATGAAGTAGCCGCCCTGGTCGTAGGGGCACTCGCCCAGGTCGCTCAGGTCGCGCTCAGAGCGGCCGTGCAGGTTGCAGTAGTCGGAGCGGAGCATGATGGGGACGTCCCCCAGGAACACCTTGTCGTAAGGCGTCACGTGCTCCTCGCTCTCCTCCCCCTCACCGTCCGGGCCCGGGCGGCGCGTGATCACCCGCTTCTCCAGGTCCACGTACAGCGGCGCGGCGTAGGTCAGGTTGCGCAGGCGGGCTTCCTTGGGGAAGATGGCCACCGTCTCGCCGTCCGCCTCCACAAAAGTGGGCTTGGACAGGTAGATCTGGCCAAACTTGATCTCGTATGTGGTGCTCTCCGCCTCCTCCTCCAGCGACTGCCCCGGGTTGTGCTGGTTGTTGGGCGTGACCGTGATGAGGCTGTTCTCGTCCACTATCTCCTGCAGGCTGCTGTTGATGAAGCCGTTGAAAGAGTCCAGCTGCTGCCGCACCAGGCCCTTCTCCTCGAAGTAGGCGCTGATCACCGCCCTGGTCGGTGTTGGGGGGAGCAGAGGTGGGGCCGGAAACCACTCCTCGCATGCGTCAAACACGCTTTACAGGCACCAAACAAGCAACCGCTCCGAACATCGCGTACCACGCATCGTTTTCCTCAATCTCCTGGTCCTCGGCCACCGCCAGGTCCTCATCGTCGCCGAACATGGCGCTCCCCAGGGGAACACAGCGCGCTTGCTCTCACCAGCCACCTCTCTACCTCGCCATGGCTGCATGCGAGGGTGCAATGCGGGCGGGGGAGGCGGCGTGCATCGCCCTATGTGCAGCTGCGACGGGATCCCGCTTGTGTTCCAAGCCTGGAGATGACGTGGCAGGAATTTATTGTGTCGCGCTCGCAAGCCTCGGAACATATCCCAACAGGCTCTGGGCATGGGTGACCAGAGTTAAGATAATGGTATATAATCCAATATGTGCAATCCCGATGGATCTGGCGTACTGCACTGGTCTGTGACCAAAGGCGATCACTTGCCCTCCGAGACTGTAAACCCAAACTGAGGCACAAGGCATCCCTGTCATGGAGCAACCTTGACAGCGCACAGAAGGCATTGCTTAGTAGACAATTCGGTGTCCTCCCCGTCAAGGAGGGATCTTGTTGTCGGCTGCAGCGATCCATGCATCGGCATGCGGCGCCTGTCCTTCGGAGCCTTGGCAAGGCCATGAGCACATACTCCTCTGCAGGTTGGCTTTTAGAGTGATTGTCTTTGCAATCGTGTTGAATGGATTGGGCGATGTGTACATAGTTTATTTGATCATCAAACAATGTGCCCTTGAGGTAATTGTCCCAATAAAGTACTTCCTCCTGCCCATGCCGTGTGTTTGCCCTGCAGCTGTCACCAGTGGCCCACCTGCAGATATGCATCGCATGCATCGCGTCCATGCCCAAATCCCACATCGCCTCTGCAGCGGCAGCAGCAGCTCGGCTCAGGAACCTCTTTGATGCCAAGGACGTCGCAGAGCTGGTGGACGGCATCCGGCATGGCCAGCGACTGGCTGTCAGTCGGGCGATCACCCTCGTAGAGTCCACTCGGCCCCAGCACAAGCAGTCGGTGAGGGGGACGATGCGATGTGGCTGAGCGGCGCAGAGCTGACATTTGTTGCGAGTTGTGGTGGCTGCTCGTAGCCACACTGTGTTCCTCCTAGAATCTCATGATATGAGGAACAGTGAGGATGATCTTGGCGCTCGAGAGGACGATACTATGCTCAGATGAGCGCTGTTTCAACACTTGTGAAAGCTCTTCCGTGTCTCCCTCGCCCTGCCAGGCTGCAGCGCTGCTGTCACAGCTGTCCTTCCGTCCCGGCTCGGCCCCACCCCCGCTGGGCCTCCGGGTGGGCATCTCCGGCCCCCCGGGCGCTGGCAAGTCCAGCCTGATTGAGGCGCTGGGCTGCGCCCTCGTAAACGCTGGCGAGAAGGTGGCAGTCCTGGCCATCGACCCCTCCTCGGCCCAGACCGGCGGCGCCATCCTCGGCGACAAGACGCGCATGTCCAAGTGAGGCGATGGGCCAGGGATGGAGGTGCCATGTGCCACGGCACCAGTGTCTGCCTACAGTGGGTGCTTTCCCTGGGCATCTGCAATGACGCCCCCTCGTGTCCCCCCCCTCAGGCTCACCCACCTCATCCCTCTCCCCCCCCCTCCAGGCTGAGCTGCCTGGACGGCGCGTTCGTACGGCCCACTCCCTCCCGCGGCACGCTGGGCGGGGTGGCGAGGGCGACGGCCGACGCCGTTGCCGTCTGCGAGGCGGCGGGCTTCACCTGGACGCTCATAGAGACGGTGGGCGTGGGCCAGAGCGAGGTGGCCGTGTCCCGGCTCTGCGACTGCATGGCCCTGGTGATGCCCCCCGTGGGCGGCGATGAGCTGCAGGTGCGTGAGGGGGGATTGGCTCCGCGGGGGTGCCCTTGACCAAGCTGCGATGGCTTGCGCAGGCATACAAGGTGGGCAGGTGGGAGGCCGTGGTGTCAAAGCAGGGGTCGGCTGGTTGAGACAGCATGGGGTGCTGCTTCAAAGTAGCGGGAGAGGCCTTCTCCAAGCACACCCATACTCCACCCCGTGCTCCCCATCCCTGCCCAACACACCAAGGTGATCAAGCGTGGCATCACCGAGCTCGCCGACCTGGTGGTGGTCAACAAGGCGGACGGCCCCACGCAGCTGGCGGCGCGGCGTGCGGCCGCCGCCTTCCGCGGCACGCTGCACTTCCACCGCGCGGTTCGCCGAGCCTGGACCGCGCGGGTGCAGACCGCGTCGGCCCTGACGGGCGAGGGCGTCGGCGCCCTGGTCGACAACCTGAGGGAGTACAGGCAGGCCCTCCTCGCCAGCGGCGAGCTGCAGCAGGTTTATGGGTGCCTGTGGGGGCAGGGGGGGGGCAAGGGATGATTGTGGAGGGATGTGGTCCCGTGGAGACGATGGGTTGCAGGGTGGGGCTGACTGGACACTCCCTGAGGGCTCAGCGTGTAGGAGCAGTCTGTGGAACCCCCGTCGTATCCTCCCATCCCCCACACACCCCCAGCTGCGCCGAGACCAGGCGATCCACCTCGCGTGGAAGGCGGCGGAGGAGGGGCTTCTGGAGGACCTGCGGTCCAGCGAGGGCGTGCAGGCCGCGCTGGGCACGCTGCGGCCTCAGCTCGCGGCCGGCAGCCTGGGGGTGCGCCCCGCCGCCGAGGCCATGCTGGCTGCGCTGCGTGCGGAGTGGTCTAGCGGCCAGGGTCTGGTGGAAGGGATCAGGCGCTAGGCGCTTGTGAGCACACCTCCGTGGCGCAGAACTCCATCTCGTCGTTCATCCCAGGGCGATGCCATGCCCCTCCCTGACCTCAGCCTCTTACGCGCTCCGCTGTGCGGTGGGGTTCATCTCGATGTAGTTGCATGACATCGCTGTGCTGCCCAAAGACGACAGACGCCTGTCCGTCCTCGCCTTAGTTGCCCTTATGCCACCCAGATCTGTCAGCAGTCCATCTGTTGCATCAGGTCAAGTGCATGGAGTCATGGCAAGAACATGGCAGGAGCTCCATGGTGTATGTCAGGGAAGGGTACCGTATCACGCTTGCTCCAGCTCAGCACCAACAGCAGCCTCCTCGCCAGCCTCTTGCTCCCTTGCGTCGCCGGCGCCGGCCGCCTCCACGTCCCCTGCCTCCCCGACCATGGCCTCAGGCACGGCTGATGCCATGAGGCCTGCCAGGTACTGCAGACTGGCTGCTGGCAGTCTCCGGTCCAGGGAGCGCACACGAGCCCGACACGCTTTCCAATGCGCAAGGTTGTGCTGCAGCAGGACGTCCACAGGAGGGGGCCGGCCCCCCCCGGTCCGAGGAAGGGAGGGGGGGGGGGAGTGGGGGCGGGCCCAGGCTTGGTCGGGGTCCGTCTACCTCCTCCCTCCATCCACGTCCGCTGGGCGCAGCTTTAAACAACTGGCAGTCAGTGGGGTGGTGAGTGGCAAGGAGTGTGGACGGTTGGTCAGGAACAGCTGCCGCCCGAGGCATCTTGAACGGGGGTGAAGGGCAGTCATTGCTATGCGGGGCAGACCTCTTCCGCGATTTGTCTTCATGTACGACGGGGCATGACAGGGAGAGAATCTCTGCATCCCTTGCTCCACCCCCTCCCAAGCGGAAACCATCGCTTGCTCACCTCCTGCTCGATGGGAATGTCTGGGGCATTCCGCACCCATGCCCTTGCCAGGCCGTAGAGAGAAGGGGCCTCCTGTCCTGCGCCTGGCAGCCGCACTCTCCTGTCACTGATGGTCACGATGCTGGGGTCGACAGCCGGTTCGGGGAGGGAGGCCGGCATCGGCGCCCAGGTGGTTCTAGCGGGCATGGGTGAACCCGTCAGGGACGTGGCATACCGCGGCTGTGATATCCTGTGAAGTGGGAAGGGACTCATGTCGGCAAAGTTATCCCCGAGCGAGAGCTCATCCTGCCTGCCGAGGGGCAGCGCCCCCCCCCACGACGCACTCCGACAAGCCTTCCCACCTGCTCGGAGCCCCAGCCTCCTCCATGCTCGCCAAGAGTTGGTGCCGCGCATCGCCCGCTGTAGTTCCTGGTGCCTGCTGAAGTGCAGGTGCGCTAGGCGACTCATGTCGCGCTTCGGGTGGGGTGTCGGGTGTCTCCACTACGCCAGCTGGAGCCTGCCTGTGCTCTGGGCTGGCCATCATGAGGGGATACAAGGGCGTTACATGAGAATGTCTGCTCGGAGCAATGCAAAAGCTGTGCATGCACAAAGCCCCGTATACATGCAGCACGCAGCTGGCAAAATCTTTCTCGCGATGCTTGTGTTTTTGCGCCCTGCACTAGTGTCCCGATCTGTGGAGGGGTGTTCGTTATCCCCACCACACGAGAGGATGCTGCATGTGCACGATGTGGGTGGCTCCGGCCTTACAGTTAGTTCAGGAGAGCCACAATGTGTGATAAATTTGGTTCTCAGAGGGGACACGCCCAAAATAGGTGCACCTCAGTGCAACACTTGGTCTGCTTTGCAGGGGACTCTGCAGCGGAGAGCAGGCCATCACTCCCCTTCCTGCACATTTGCTTGGGTCTGCACTCCAATCCAAGTGCTAGGTTGAGGCCAGTAGCATCACAGCTTGGCTCCCACCGGCGGCAGGGTGTCCTCGCTGATGCGCACGTACACCTGCATCAAGCATGTCGCCCAGGGTTGATGACATCCCCATACCAGGTGCCGTGCCGGTGTCACTGCCTGCGAGTCGGTCAGCCAGATGGTCTGAGGGTACAGCAGTCCCAATCCCCTGGCACCCTCGCCGAACCTTTCCAGATGATTGCCCGCTCTGCAGCCGGTCGACGGCAGCGGGCACAGCCTCGATGCCCACATGCTCGGGCGAGTCCAGGATGATCTTCAGCTTGCCGGCGCTGTACAGGCTGATGAGGAGGGCCAGGTGGCGCCTGAACTCGTGCGTGTAGTGCAGCAGCAGGAACCCTGAGAATTGGGTTTTGGAAGGGTGGGGAGGGGCTCAGGGAGGGTCCGCCATGAGGGTACATGGGGGTTGATGCACATTTGCTGCCATCCATCCCGACACCCATGCATGCCCGGGAGGCTTGCGATGCACCCACACGCCGCCGGGTGGGATATCGCCAGGACCTGGCCCCTCAGGCCTCAGCGCACCCCTGCCGGTGTGAAGTGGCCCTGCATAACACTCCCCTCGGTACCTGGCCCTTTGCATCAGGATCCTCCTCCCCCTTCCCTCCCCAACCGACATGCCCACCTGTCACGGTGGTGGACTTGTTCAGCACCTTCTCCGGCAGGCCACGGTGCGGCATCGGCTTCCAGCCGTCGGGCCCCTTGTACTGGCTCATGGCCCCGATCACGATCAGCCGCCCCTTCTGCGCCAGCGCGTTGAGGCAGGTGCCAAACCACTCGCCGCCCACCGACTCCCAAACCACGTCCACGCCGCGCGGGTACTCGGCGCGCAGCACCGCCTTCAGGTCCTCGGTGCGGTAGTTGACAGCGCGGTTCGCGCCCAGGGACCGGATCAGGCGCGCCTTGTCCTCCGACCCCACCGTGGCGATGACGTGGCACCCCGCCAGCTTGGCCAGCTGCACCGCAAACTGCCCCGCGCCCCCCGCCGCGGCAGTGATCAGCACGGTCTCCCCCTTCCTCAGCCTCCCGCACTCCTGCAGGCCTGCAGCAGTGCGGACGGGTAGGTGCGGTTGCTTGCTGTTACTCATGGTTTGGGGGGAGGGGGGGGGGAGAAGGCCGACCAGAAACAAGGGGAGGCTCCCTCGCGATGAGGATGCAGGCGCAGCCCATTGCCTGCCAGCCGCGTCGGGGGAACGAGGCAGCCCCGCGCCCGCCACTGTCTCCCTCCTTCCCCCATGTGCATTGATGTTTGACCACATGCCACACACCCCTGCCATCAGCCCACCCGAGTAGATCCCCTCGCACCGATGCTGGCGGTGAGGCCCGAGGTGAGCAGGGCCACGTACTCTGGTGAGGGACCCGGCACGTCCAGGCAGGCGCGGGCGGGGACGAGGGTGTAGTCCGAGAAGCTGCCCGACACCATGGTGGCCACGGCCTGGCCCGGGCGCGGGTGCTTGACCCCGGGCCCCACCTCCGCCACCACGCTCACCGCCTCGAAGCCGGAGGGGAAGGGCAGCTGGGCCTCGGCCGCAGCGGTGGAGGCGTGGTACTTCCCCGACGTGTAGTTGATGTCGGAGGCGTTGATCCCGGCGTAGACGGTGCGCAGCAGCACCTGGCCTGGGCCGGGGGCGGGCACGGGCCGCGTCTCGAGCCGTGTTGCGGCGCGGAAGTCGTTGGACAGCCGCCGTATCATGACGGTGCGCGTGGTGCGGCCGCCGGCAAGGCCCTGCGTGGCCCACTCGCGCCAGGCCGGCACGATGGGGCTGGTGGAGGTGGCGGGGCGAGGGATGTACCTGGGCGATGATTGGGAGGGGGGTGGGAAGAAGGGGGCCGCATCGGGTGCGACGGGCTGGGCGGCTGGGGTATGAGATCATCGACCGGGGAGGTGCGACGAGCAATGGGCCGCCGACTCGGTCGGGCACTCCGCGTGAATCGCGCCAGGCCAGGGGCCTCCGGTTTGATGTACTCATGCAGACGCCCAGTGACGGTGCATGTGGCGCACGTGTACCCAATAAATGCACACTTGCAACCCCTTACACCCCAGCAAAGACTCACTGGAGTGTTTGAGAAGGGGGCACCGCCTCCATCCACTCCCCGGTCATGCGGAGGACGAGGCACTGGCCGACGCGATTGGGGTCGGTGATGAGCACGTGCGCCGCCTCTGCCACCTTGTCTGCGGTGAGCAGGGTGCCCGCCGTTGCTCTGTAAAACGGGGACTGGGGCCCGCTCTGGGCACGAGCCTCAGCGACCAGCGGCGTGTCCACAAACTGAGTTGATAGGGGAGTGGAGAGGCTTGTTACTGACGGGGGCGGTGTTGGTGGGTGAGCATGGCTTTAGACAGGCTGGAGGGTGCATGTGAGAGCTTGAAGAAACAGGTCCTGAGGTGTCTGGCTGGCACCGAGGAGCTTGCCATTTTCCTGCGGGAAGCTCACCTCGGGGCAGAGCGCGCAGATGCGGATGTTGCGCTCGAGGAGAGGCTTGGCCACGGAGCGCGTGGCGTGCACCACGCCCGCCTTGGCCGCAGCGTAGACGGGGGAGAAGGGCATGGAGAAGAAACCGCCGGCGCTCGCCACGGTGATGAGGACGCCCTGCCGCCCCTCCCGCCGCCCGCCGGCGGGGGCCATGGCCTGGCTGGCCAGGCGGATGCCGTCGAGCACCGCGCCCAGATCGATGTCCAGGGTGGGGCGCCAGGAGTCGTCCTGTGCACTGAGCAGGTCGCCTGATGGAGGCCGGGTTTGGGGGGGTAATTGAGCGGCAAAGGGGGGATGACGAGGGCGCCACGGACTTGGTCAGTTTAGGAGAACGCAGGGTGTGAGGATGAAGAAGCTAGATGAGTGGTGACGTTGCACTGGTGGGCTATGTTGGCTTGGCAATGCAAGTAGCCATTGATCTACATCGCGGGCCCCGGATCACACTCCAGAGATCAAGCCAGAGCCCCTCCTCTGGACCAGTACCTCTCTCAGGGATCCCGGCATTCAGCACGGCGATGTCGAGGCCCCCGTTGCGACGGATGTGGTCAGCGAATGCAGCCTCCTGGGACGCCGACGAGGCCACATCGCAGTACACTGGGGTTGCATTTGGGCCTGCCAGGTCGGCGGTGGCACGAGCCCCCGCATCGCTGACATCGGCAACCTGTTATGTTGGGGGGTGGGGGAATGAGGGTTCTGCTATGCTTGGAGGAGCAAGCATGGGCAACCCAAAGCGACACACGCAAAGCAATCGAGTTCGAGACGTACATACCGTCACATGGCAGCCGTGTTTTGCGAGATCGACGCAGATAGCACGTCCAATGCCGCTCCCACCCCCTGTTACGAAAGCCGACGCACCACGCAAGGATGCCATGCTTCTGAGTCTCTACAGCGATCAAGAGACAACAAAGCTAGAATGTCGTTGTATTGGAATGCATGCACTGCGTTGGTCTTAGCGAATAGCTGAATGGGCGCGGCATTGAAAAGTAATTGCTAAGATGTTCCGACACAAACATCCACGTGGGCAAGCCCTGACGGAGAACCAGCGTCCTCCTCTACATGACATCCTGCCCACGATTACACCCTACTCTCAGCAGCATGCAGGTTTGTTCCCACGCCCTGAAATGAGACTAGGATTTTCAGAGTGAACCTCAGATGTGTCTCCACAACAAAATAAGAAATGAGCAGCAAGCTTGAAGATCAATGGACCTGGCATGAACATGATTGATCCTCGTACCCTGTCTGCGGTCCAGGGGAGCATCTGATGCCAGAGACACCACCTTCAAATCTCAGCAAGGCAGACAGCCAAGCAGAGCATTTCCCCCGGGCAACATCATCCAAGGATGCTGCCTCGCTCTCTGACTCACTGCAAAGATGCCGCGGCACCGCGCCTATGCGCCGCATCAGGCCCTGAAGCTGTCACGTATGGTCTGCAGCTTGCTCTGGCTGCGGGCCCACTGCTTCTCGCTGGCGCTGACCACAAAGAGGTAGGCCTGGTCCCCTTTGATGGTGAGGGACGCCAGGATGTGGGGTCCGTCCTTGGCCTGCAGGGCGTTGAGTTCATAGATGTAGTAGGTGCGCCCATCCGAGAGAGTCTTGGAAGTCGCGCTGATCACATCATCCTCGGCTTCCAGGGACGAGCCTGTGAAGGGTTGGGGCGTGGTACAGAATTAGCTGATGTTGGGTTGTGACAGTTTCAAAGCAAATGATCAGTGGGTCCTGTGCGACCAAATCCTTGGCAATGTCCCTGGCCCCATGCTCTGTACCTGTGACATAGTTGCCAACCTTCTCAATGGCCCGCTCTGGCGGCCCAATGTCGCTCAGCTGGGCTCCGGCTTTGGAGATAAGCCGGAACAGTGGAGCCACGATGAGCTGCATTGGATCACACCGAGGCCTGTAAGAATATCTGAACAAGTCATCAAAATTGAACTATGACCCTCGTCGGCGTCAATGGCATGAACCTCCTTCCTACCTGTGCTTTGCCCTCTGCCTGATTTTGGAAGAGGGCTTCGTACCAAGGCTCGTCGCAGCGGGGCATGCAGAAGTTGCCCGAGAGGATATTGAGAATGAGCCCCTACGGCAGTGTAACAGAAAGCAGGTTGGGTGTGGCCCCAGCAAAACCTCTCGCCCGTCAATGCCTCTGCATGCCTGTCCTGGCAGACAACATCTTCAACTCATGATACACCCACACACCTCCGACCAGTTCTCTGGGAGGACAAAGGTATAGAAGGAGGGGTCAGGCTTGATCACACCCGCTCGGATGGCGGGGGTCTTCTTCTCATCTGGGGTGTACTGTACAAAGCCTGGTGTCGAGGCAGGTGGCAAGTACGCCCTCACGGGCTGGGAGGGTGGGGAGCGAGCGGCGCTCGCAGGGGATACGGGGATCCAAGGGAGGTATCCGACCCCCATTAGACCGACCAGGGCAGCCCGTCGATCCAGGGGGCTCATTGCATGTGGCGCATACGCTCCCATGGGAGGAGGTGCCACGAGAGGACCCACGTGCACAGGTGCTGCATTGTGCGCTCTTACAGCGACACCATGCCTGGTTTGAGGAGCTAGTGAATGCATGGTAATTTTCCCACCACAATGTGTCAAGTGCATGCCTGCGCAGCACCCTTTGGCATCGCACCAAGGGCCGTGGCTGTGAGAGGGCTGATCTTGGTTTGGAGGCATCGCATCCGCAGCATGCGATCGAACACGGAGTCAGCATGCGGGCTGCAGTGTCGTGATCAAGTAGAGAACGGCATTGATCATGAGCATGCAATATATACTGCTGGTGTCTCTGATGAGAGGCTAATCGAGCGCCTCTGCTGATCGCACTATCGAGTACGGCATTGCTCACTCTCACGTTGGGATAGTGCCCATTGAGAGGCATGGCCAGGTCAGGAAGAGGGCGATGCCGCACTTTTGTTGATGATGTAATGCATGAGTATTGTTTTAAATCTATGAAAGCGTACATGGGGCCCTGACTCAGCCCTCACTCCATCCAGCCGGCTGGCGATTGGAGCCGTGGCGGGTGCGGCGGTGGGCGGAGCGCTCACCTTTGTAGTGGTACGTCGGCATCCTGCAAGGTCGTCGGTGGGACCAGGTCAGTATTTCCTTGAGGTGAAGCTTTCCTGCCCATCAGAATTCCTTACTGGGTCGGGTGGCCTCTCTTTCCTTGGCATGATATGGCCGTGAAATCTGTTGCATTCTTTGGCCTGCTGGTCCTCTGCAGCTTGAGGAGGGTGTCCCATTCTGCAATCTTCCTTCACGAAGCCTGTGGTCGCAATACTCAACAGGAAGCACTCCGTCCCCTTTACCTGGTCATGCCTCCCATCCCTGCCTCAAGCATGGTGTGGAGAGGGCCATCACTGAATCGGGGATGTAGCGCGAAGGGAGGGGAGGGTGTTGACCTCTTGGTCGTATTGTTCTGAACTGGCTCCTGTGCTTGCCCGAGTATTTGTGGAAGCATCCTCCACTCCCTCCTCCACCGCCTTCCCTCATAGGCCTGCCCATGTCCGATGGAATCCGCATGTACACCAACTTCATTGCCAGCATCGACACCCGGCTGAGGAACCCCAAGTGGGTGATAGAGCACCTCACCCGCTCCAAACTCAAGGGAGATGGCACCAGGTACGTGCTGCGCGTGTCAAGATCCCCAGGCCAGCCAGGCCACAAGTCTCCGTCGATGAATTACCCTGTGGGTGCCTCTCAGGCCTCCTGTTGCCTGTGATGTGGGGCACCACCAACCCCCGCGTTCAAGCATTCAACTCGCTGCCCTGGCGTTCCACCCTGCTCGCAGGAGCTCCTCTCAGTTCACCGAGGATGCGGGGGTGGGCGCCCGCTTCCGGGCCAAGCTGTCTGACTACCGCGGCACGGGCTACGATCGAGGCCACATGGCCCCCGCCAGCAACCACAAGGAGAGCCAGGGGTCCATGGACGAGACCTTCTCGCTCAGCAACATCGCGCCGCAGGTGGGCGGGGGCTTCAACCGCGACTACTGGGCGCGCTTCGAGCGCTTCGTCCAGGACACCACCAAGTCCTTTGACGATGTCTGGGTAGTCACGGGACCTCTCTACATCCCGCGGCCTGGCCCCAGCGGCTGGGTGCTGGAGCACCCCATGCTCGGTGGGTGTGGGGGAATGGTGGTGCAGGGGAGGACGGCGACAGAGTGTGGGAAGGGCATCGGGCAGGTGCTGCATTGAGCCCGCAGTCGCCCACCCCTGGTCACCAACAGGCCCCCATACCACCCCACCTGTACTGCCACAACCCTGCGCAGGCCAGCCCCCGCAGATGGTGGCCGTGCCCACCCACTTCTTCAAGGTGGTGCTGGCCGAGCAGGGGGACGCCTCCACCGCAGTGGCCGCCTTTGTCATGCCTAACTCGGCCATCCCCGCTGAGTACCCGCTGTCGGCCTTCTCGGTGCCGCTGACCTCCCTGGAGGAGGTCAGCGGCCTCACCTTCTTCCCCTCGCTGCTGGACGACGCACGGCGCATGGGCCTGGACGCCGCTGCGCTGAGGTGGCAGGCGCTGGGCAGGGCCGACGCGCAGCGCGCGCGCCTGGCGCCGGGGGCGAGCCCCCCCGCCCTCCTGCCCCCGCCGCCCTCGTTGCCGGGGAACGCCGTGGTCAAATCCGCCGTAGGGGCGGCTGTCACAGGTGAGGGAGCATGGATTTTTTTTTCGGGCCAGCGCTGCACGTGGCAGTGAAGGGGAGGAGGAGGTGAGGGGGGAGCGATTCTGTGAACACCTGTGGTGGAAACCGTGGCGTTGAGGACCATGTAAATATATGATTGTGACCGTAACTGAATGAGGTGTGCTCGGTGTACGCGTGCCAGTGGTGAGTGTCGCTGTGGACGCCCTTGATTATGAGGATCCGCTCCCTCCTGTGTGCTTCTGTGTGACAGGTTGAGCCGACCACCTCCCCACACCCCATACACTTCTTGCAGCTGTCTTCCAGGGCTCCAACCCTGCACACCTCTGCGACAAGCTGCAGTGCCGGCTCCCGGCGGAGGACTTCTGGAAGGGGCCGGGGGGAGGTGCGAGCCGGGATCGGAAGCTGCAGCGAAGTCAAAGCGCAAAGTTCTAGCCATCGGCGCAAAGGAGGAAGGAGCGGGCAACTTCTTTTGTGCACCCCCTCAACTCTGTGCTCTCATGTCTTGTAATTCATTAACATACTGCACATGCATCCCCCAGGAGCTGGAGCACAGCTCACCTGTGCCGAAGCATCCTGGGCGGTTGCTCAGAGCGGTTGGGTAACAACCATATGAAGAAAACGTGAATACCGCTAGCAGGTTCCCGCCCCAGTCAGATTTTTTTGGAATCAACGGAGCGCGTTCAATCTGCTTGTAAAGCACAGGCCGAGGCCTGATCGCCATCAATTTCATAATTATCGATCTTTTAATCACCACATAGCGAAGCCTCTGTCCCTCAGATCCCCCGTCCACCGATCAACGCATAGTCCTGACCAACCGCTGCGATGGCATCCCCACGCGTCCTCATCTTCGCTTTCGCTCTGGCGCTTGCCAGCAGCACCATGGCTGTCCCATCCAAGCTGGCCATCGTCAGGTCATGCGGTAACCTGCACGTCACTGCCTCGTGGTCGTCCGGGCTGTGCGCGAACATCGTCGCTCGCAACACCCTCAACGAGACCTCCACCTCCTGGGCAGCTCTGCTGTCCGTGTCCGGCATCACCATCACCTCTGGTCCCACCGGCATCGGCGCCCCTGAGATGGTGCGTTGCATTGCACGGCATCGGGAGGCCGCCGGAACCGTTGGGATTTGAAATGTGGGGGTGATCGCCAGGCCACGTGAGTGTGTACTTCAAACAGCCACCCCGACCTTGTCGCAGATCGACTCCGAGACCTGGGCGATCCTGCCCATCGACGGCACGCAGCAGAAGATTCAGGCAAAGAACACCATCACCATCAACTTCTGCGGTGTCACTGATGCCCCCGAGGAGGTTGTCGCGAGCCTGGAGACCGTGTTTGGCCATGGCCCCAACTTTACCACCCAGGATGCTGCCAACAAGTTGAGCTCCGGCTACTGCCCCTTCCTGCCCGTCGTGTCCCCTCCCCCTCCTCCCCACGGTGAGATACTAGTGTCGTTGCTCCATCTGCATCAGGCAAAGGGGCTACGTTGATTGGTAGCTCCAGTTGCCTTGCGGCTGGCAGCCAGGGTCATGTGCAACCACGTCACTCTCAATCCCCCCTTCCATCCCCGCAGATGTGCCTGCCCCCGCCCCCGAGTCTGATTTCGAGTGAAGCAGTGTGACCATGGGACATGGGTGGCGATAGGGTGCATTGCACTGGCTCTGTGACCACCCTCTTCACTCCTGTGATCTTTTGCTGAGAAAGCAGCGTCACAGATCATGAGTCCTGAGCAATGTCTGCCCCGTATAATGTAAATGCCATTCAGAGCCTATCGACTAAAGCCGAAGTGAGGAGGGATTCCCGAAGTTTGTCGGGGTGTGCGGGTTTCCGGGGACCTAATCAGGGTGTGCGACGGAAGCCCTGTCAATATTCGCAGGAGGACTCGTACGGGGCATAATCCGATTGGGCCATCATAAAAGTAGAAACATCGCGTGCTGGAGTTGGTCTCAGACGGGGATGCCCCCCTGAGACTCGTAGTCGTACACATACTCACCTTCGCTCTGCGACATCGTTTCAACGATGCTCATGCCTTCAATGCACATTTAGCTGAATAGCATGAAGTATAAGGAATCCAGCCAATGCGATCGCTGGGTGTTCACAAACGAGCAGCTGGTGAGACACGGAGGTGGCTAATACTTGCAGGCTGGGGTGTGGCCCCGCGGTGAGCCGCGTTCTTCCCCTTGCTATGCTGCACACGGATCGAGATGGGCCTTCACCGCTTTCTCCTTCCCATCGACAGGCTGAGCTGCGGGGGGCCAAGCTAGAGAGCACCCTGCGGGTCTTGACACAGGTGCTTTTGCGGAGGCGGTGGGTCAGAGGTGGTGAATTGACACTTGCACTCTGGAGATGGGCAGCACTGGTGCACAGCAAGCATGCCTGGGCTTTATGTGTGCCCATGTCTTCCTGCACAGGCACAGGAGTCCTCCTCACAGGCCTCGGGCAGTGGCAATGGGGACACACCGCCGCCAGCAGGCAAGTGCTACCGGCAAACGCTGGTCCTCAGTGGCATTGAGCTGCGTAATTGAAGCAAGGCTTACGTCAGTCCACACTGCACGTAGATCATCGCAGGCTGAACCCCTTCCCCTGCCATGCATGCGCAGACCTTGCCCCGCCCTCCCTGGAGGAGCAGGAGCTGCTGCTGCGGTACTACGGCTCCAAGCTGCAGGCCATCTGCGCCGAGCTGAAGCTGCCGCGCAAGGTGCTCGGCACCTGCGTCACCTTCCTCAAGCGCATGTACGTGCACAGCTGCGTGCTGGAGGTGGACCCCCAGACCATCTTCCTGACCTGCCTCTACCTGGCGTGTAAGGTGGGTTTGGTTTTCCTTTGGGGAGTAGGGGACCCGGGCACCAGCCCAGTTGGACAACGGGAGGAGGTGCATTGGTGCGCTGTGTCAGCCCATCTTCGCAGGGGGCTACACGTGCATGTGCATCACTGAGTGTGGTCCATGCACCAATCAGGTAGTCCCACCACCATTTCTCCACTGGCACAGACGGAGGAGAGCTACATCTCGGCCGCTGAGCTGGGGCGCTTGTCAGGCATGCGGGCCGAGATTGTGCTGGGGACAGAGCTGACCCTGCTTCAGGGCCTGAAGTTCGACCTGATTGTCTTCTCGCCCTTCAACGCCATAGAGGGCTTCATGCAGGTGATGGTCGGGGAGCCTGAGGAAAGCGTGTCTGGATTTTGTGTTCCGAGGCGATTGCAGGGGTCCAATTCCTCCGCTTGGTCCGCTGAAGATGGAAGAATAAGGAGGCAGTACACTTCAATGGCTCCTCAGACTCTTTCCAACCCCCCCTTCCCCTTCTTGCATTCTCCATCATCCTGGCCCTCAGGTCATTCAAGAAAGGGCACAGATTCCAGGTGCTGTGGAGCCTGCCCTTCTTGGCTTGCAAAAAAGCACGGCCGACAGGGCACGACGTGCTGCCCTCGCAGCTGCCGACGCGCTGATGCTGACGGATGCCCCACTCCTCTTCACGCCAGGCCAGCTGGCCCTGGCGGCTCTGCGGTCCGGCTTTCACAAGGTTGTTTGTGATGGGGCACATGATCATGCTGTGGGCCAGCTGGATGCGGGAGTGCGGAACAGTATTTGGCCATGAATGGAGCTCAGGGTAATCCAGAGAGCCTTTCATTACATTGCCCAAGCTCGTTTTTATTCAGCACAAGCCTGCAGGCCGACCCAGGCGCCTTCTCCAGCCCTAGCTTCCCATCCTCCATGAACACAGGCTGGTATCAAGATCCAAAACCCTGCGGCTCTTGTGCTGTCGCCCGACGAGCAGCCGGAGGAGACGGTCCACAAGCTGGCTGCCGTGCTCAGATCCATCGATGAGCTGGGGGCACTGGGCTCAGCGACACTCGACCTGGAGGAAATTGCAGCGATCGATCGCAGGGTGAAGGCCTGCCGCGCCGTCCTGAGCGAGACCAGCCGCAAGGCCGCCAAGGGCAAACCATCTGGCAAGAGCGGCACAAAGGTGGGAAGGCCTTGGATATCTGTGAGAGTGGGATGCAGGAAGGTCTTGACGGGGTTCCTGACCATGGCGGGGTCCATCGATGTGTGTCAGCCCGCTGCAACGTGCACCTTTGTGCAGGAAGCGATCGCTGCAAAGGCTTGAGCTACAACCGTGACTCGCCCAGCACCGCGGCCTCGGCAGCGCTGTCCCTTTGCACCAGCTCCGCTGGAGCAGTCGGCGTGGGTACATCATGAAGTGAAGCCTGAGGGTGCGCCGTCCACAGGGCGGTCCTCCCCCGCGTCACTGCAGTCACGCGCCGTCTCACTCCGCTTGCACCCCCGTGTCTGTGTACCGCGGCGGCTCGAATGCACCGGCCTGTCCCAGGAAAGCGCGCGCAAAGGCCAGCCCGTCGGCCGTGGGGTCTGTGAACGCCAGCCTGCCTCTCGGCAGTCGACAGGACAGCGCGGCATCGACCCCCAGCACCGCCTCCAGCAGTCGGCTGGCGACGCCTCTGCGGCGCGCTGAGGCGCGCACCCACACCGCGCGCACGCCGACATGGGAGTGGCCCGGCGGCGAGTGCCCCTGCGTCGGGGCGGAGCGGCCATGGCTGATGGGTGCCACCTGTTCGTCCAGGTGGACACAGGTGCATGCCAACATCCGTATAAACGCAGCATGCTGCCTTGCTTCTGTGCCAGGAGGATCATGCCAAGGGCTGTACCTGAGTGGGATGGTCGTCTGAAGGCTGAGCGGCCAGGCGGACGAGCCGTCGCTCCGCCCAGACCGCCCCCAGGACGTGCTTGGACTCCTGGACGACATACAACCACAGTCGCGGCCGGGTGCGCCCAAGCCATGCGGCATCCAGCCCCATCTCCCGAGCCAGCATTGCTGTGAGGGTCTGGGACAGAGGTACAGGGCATGTTTGCATTCGTTATCATGCACTAGGTTGCCTGATGTCAGATGCAGCTCCCTCGATACCACCAGTATAGCCTTGTTGATGCACCCATCTCGATTCCAAGCAAGCTTGAAGTACCTGGGCTTGGGAAGCGTCGTGGGGGACTTGTATGATGGAGGCATCGGCGTCAGACCAGACCGTAGTGTGGCCCTTGCCTGCCCTGTACACTGCTGGCCTGCACGCCTTGGCGTGATGCTGGCGATGCAGGGCCTCGTCATCTGGCTGGCCGGGGGAGTAGGTGAGGCCGCAGGATGGGCATTGCACGAAGTGGAAGCTGCGCTGCCCCAGGTCTAGGAAGGACTGGCGCAGGGTGGCACTTGCACCGTTCCTAGGCGCAGCACTGGAAGCTGTTGGCAAGGCTGGCTGTGGGCTGGCGACAGGAATCGATTCTGCCACGGGTCTGTGAGGAGCATTGAGAGGGCATACTTGTCTGCATTCGAAAGGATATCATTTATGTGCACGAACAAACTCTCACGCAAAGTCGACCTACCGGGGCCGCTTCCGTGTGAAGCAAATAGGTGCCGCCATTCAGACGGATCCCAATACCTCGGCAGGGCGACCCAAGTTTGAGGTGGTCAGTGCATAATGATGCTGGAAATCTCCCATATCTTTTGGCTTCGAAAGGTGACATCCAGGCGATGCGGGAACATCTGCTCGTGCAGAGTTTGTATTCCAGATCTCACCAGGACGCCGCGCGCCCTTAAGATTCAATTTTTTACCTCGCACTATGAGGCTGGTCGATGCTGATATCGATGCTCGGAATTAGTCCTTTACCAGCATCCAGAGTCCCTGTACCTCGCCGATCATTGTGGTGCTTGCAACGTGGGCATCGCTCGTTAAGAATGACCGTTCCGAGTGTGGCTGCACATGACGGGTCTGTCCCACCCCCCTCCAAGCTGATCAAGACCGGGCATGCGCCTGCCCTTCTCGTCAAGAAACTATCCGAGTACGCTGTGCTTCCGAAGCGAGGCTCAGTGGGAGCTGCAGGCTACGACCTGGCCAGGTGCATGTTGGGAAGGGTGGTTGAATTGGACGTAGGTGGTGTAGCTTAGTGGAGCAGGTCGACTCGGCACAGGGGTTGCTACAAGGCTGACACCAGCCGCATCCTGCTGAATCCTTCACTTGCAGTGCTGAGGATGTTGTGATCCCGGCTCGGGGCAAGGGCGTCGCCAAGACTGACCTCAGCATCGCCTGTCCTCCTGGGACGTATGCGCGCGTGGCCCCGCGCTCCGGCCTCGCAGTGAAGAACTTCATAGACACCGGCGCTGGCGTGGTGGACGAGGACTACAGAGGCAATGTGGGGGTGGTCCTTTTCAACCACAGCGACGTCGACTTCCATGGTGGGCTGTGCCTGCTGGGCTGGGGTGCCAGCTGGCAGGGTGGGCGATGCCTGTTTCGACCTCACCGGCATGTATACTGGGTCTCTCCACATCTTTCATGCCCTGCTCAATGCAGTGAAGCGTGGCGACCGTGTGGCACAGCTCATCCTGGAGGTCATCCAGACCCCGGAGGTGGAGGAGGTGGCAGAGCTCCCCACCACAGTGCGCGGCGCTGGGGGCTACGGATCGACGGGGGTCAGCGTGGCGCTCTAGAATGCTGCTACATTGAGGACGTGGAGTGCAACCTTCCCAGGGCACAACCTTTATCAGTGCTCTGATTGGAGAGCATCTGCCTGTGTACAGTACTGGGACAGTTTTATTCAAAGAATGATGAGGCAAGGGGTGCAAGACTGGCCCGGAGGTTGAGTGGAGGTCTACTCCTGCCGGGCCAGCGTGGTGACAGCCTCCACATGAGGGACTGCACCCACTAGACAACGCCTGGCCGCGCCTGGCAATCCCATGCCACTCCAAGGGCCGCCTGCACCACCTCGTCAGTCGTAGCCGGCTCCCCGCCGCAGCGCGCGGGCCGCCACGCGGCTGAGCAGGCGCTGGCCGAGGTCGGGGGCCATGCGGGCCGCGACGGACGCCAGCTGCGGCTCCAGCCCACGCAGCAGGTCCAGGTCAAGCGAGCCCGGCCCCGCATCGCGGCCAGACAGGTAGGCCACGACCCGCGACATGCTCTGCATGATTTGCTCGTCCTCGGGGCTGACCTGGGGCGCCAGCACCGAGAGCAGCCTGCCAGGGCATGTGGGGGGGGAGGGGAGGGGGCTCTTAGATCTGCACATCGTGCTGACAAGGGGGGGTGGTTTGCTGGAGGGTGGCGGTGAGGTGTCTGTGGCTTGGGGAGTGCCATTGCGTCAGGTACCCTGAGGGCTCCCAACAGCCTGCCCACCCCCAAGAGCTCAGCAGGTTGTGCAGCACCATGTCCACCACCCCACCCCACCTGTTTGCGCCTGGCAGTCCAAAGGGCGGCAGCGGCACCCTGCTCATCGCCAGCATGACGCTCCGAAGCTGGGTCCGGGTCGCGGCGTCCACAGTCTTGACGATCTCGTCCAGCAGGAACTCACGGAAAAAGCTTCCCTCCGGCGACAGGAGGAACCTGCGAGCAGAGCAGGGATTCGAGGTGACAGGTGGGGCCCTACTCACAGTGTGGGGTGCAGCAATCCCAAGCATCGAGTATGTCCCTGCGAGAAGAGCCAAGCAGTGCAGAGTGCCGAGCGACGATATCTGCTGCATGCATTGGCTGACACCTGGCCAAGGCATCGATTGTCCATGCTGCCCTTCCCTTACCGGAGTGCTTCCCGCCGTTTCTCTGTCTCCAGGGCTGCATCTATTGAGGCAGAGACAGGTGCAAGGGGAGCCGCCATGGAGCTGGCAGGCACACCATTGTGTCGCGCCAGATTCCCAGCTGCTCCATGTCCATAGGATGCCTGTGCGTTGTGGGGGCTCAGCCCCGCTGCGGGGACCACCTGGACACTGCTGCTCCGCAGATTAGTGGCGGGGACAAAGTGCTCCAAGCCCAGGTTACCCTGTGCCGACTTAGAAGCCAGTGTGAAGCTCTCGTACGCATCCAGCAGGTCGATGAGGCGGGTGGAATCAAATACGCGGCTCTTGCCATAAATCTGTGACGAGGAGTGGTCGTGAGGGCCAGTGGCGAGAGTGGGCTCGACTGTGGGTTGGCATGGTGACAGTCATCTTCGGCCAGGCAGACGGGGACCGATCAACAGCGCCCTTGCACCAACAGAGGGAGCACAGAGCTGTCGAGATGCCAGCATTCACTCCTCAAAACCCACCATATAGCGTAGGGCGGCCCTGAGGCGTGGCGAATTATCAGTCATGAGCCGCTTGGCGATGTATGGGAAGGCCTCGTCCACCAGTGCAAAGTCTGGGTCCCCGACCAAAGCAATCCCTTCCAGCACGCCTGTGACATGTCGATCGAAGAGCGTGGACCGGTCAGTGACGATGGGTATAGCACATCAAGGATGCTGAAAGGTGTGTCATGATCGATTCTATCCCTTTCCCAGGAGCACCAAGGTCAGATGCATCCCTGGAGCTCGCCACCCTCCGAATGGAATCCAGACATTTGTGCACGAGAATAAAAGACATTTCCTGCTCACCGATTGCTCGGATGATGAGTGCAAAGTATGGTGGAATGCGGAAGGGGTAGTCGAAGGTAATTTGTGCCAGATCAGCAGACAGACCCTGCATAGTTGAAACAAGTGGTTGGTGGGGCTGAAATTGAGCCTGGAATAAGCTGCAAGCGTCACAAGGAGCTTCATCGGCTTATCATGCAGATTTAGCGCACAAGGTGTCCTCGCTCTACCCTACCTGGAAGTTTATGTTCTTGGCGCCACCGCCCTCAAGTGCTTGATCAAATACCTGGGTGTGGATACCGGAGTATAAGGATGTAGATCGACCATCACTAGACATAGAACGCAGTAAAACCACCCGCCTGCACGAGCTGCTCCATCAAAGCACCCCAACATCCCTCACACATCCCTCCTGTCAAAGCAGCACACTCACTTTGCTCAAAACAGGCAGGATGGGGGAAAGGTTGGTCCCCGGTGGAATGAACCCCAGGGTCACAAAGTCCTGAACAATGGCCTCGTAGTCCCTGTGGATGAGGTGGCTGACTGCCTCAATCATCCCCACACGAATGTCCTCGTCCACCTGGGTCATCAACCCAAAGTCCAGAATGGCCAGCCTGCCATCTGGGGTCCGTATGAGGTTTCCAGGGTGCGGGTCGGCGTGGAAGAAGCCTGTGGGACGAAGAACGTCCACAGAGGTGAGTGACAGTGGCCAAGTGCACAGTGGCCCAAGCATCACCCTTGCCAGGCGGGGAACATGGGCCCACGTGACATTGAAACAAAATCCTTCCGTCAGGATGACCCTCCTCAGATACACTGGCATTCCAGCCAGGTTCACCCTTCACCTACCTGTCTCAAGGAGCTGCTTGAGGTAGCAGATGACGCCCAGGTTCACGAGGCTCCCCACATCGCTCTCTCTGCTCTGACTCAGCTTCTCGCCCTCCAGCCACGAGGTGGTAAGCACTCGCCGCGATGTGTACTCAGGAAATGTCCGAGGGACCACTACCTGCACAGGAAAGGGGGGGGGGGGGACGTCGATGTCTTGCTGCTGGTTGGAGTGCAAAACCATACAGTAAGTATTCCTTCTAATAATCACCCCTGCTGCAAAGGGTGAGTAGCAAGAAAGGTCTGGCAACAATATACCTGTGGGAGATCCTCCCGCATCTGGTCTGCAAAGATGAGTCCGTTCTGCCCCTCCTTGATGTAGTCCAGCTCCTGATGCACGATGGGATGATTGGCCACACAATGTCAACTTCACAGAAAGCCCTGTCGAACAGCCTAGACACACTTCGAGCGCCTGAGCATGCATCTTCCTAGTAGCACTGCAGGGATATATCCGCCGCTCGCCGTGCAACACACCTCAAAGAAGCGAGCTGCCCACTCATCCAGAAGAGCCACAAGGTCAAGACGCTGAGGAATGGGCAAGGAGAGGATTATGGTAAGGACAGCTGCGTAGTTTTTAGGAAGATGTATCTGCTCATGTACAACCAGCACGCAAGCGCTCTGAGCTCATGTTCCAAGCATCCGCAGCCGCCCGCAACACCCCTGCATTCCAATCTCCGCTCCCCAGCAGCACCCACCGCCGTGATCTTTGGAAAGTTCCTGAGAAACGTCCCAAGCTCCCTGAGGATGTACAGGTCCACAGTCACGGTCTCCAGAACGTACGGCCTCTGGACCTTGACGGCCACCGCCTCCCCGGTGTGCAGCCGCCCCTTGTACACCTGGCATTGAGATTGACAGATTCGAAGGTGGGTTGAAGCAACTTCGTCAGAGTCTATGAGGCTGGGGAAACGCAGTGAATATCAATGTCATGCTTCTGAAATGGACCCAAGGCAACTCTTCAGCCCCCTTTAGTGCACTCTCGCAGCCACCCATCGGCGCTTCCCATCCCCATCGGCGCTTCCCATCCCCATCTGCGCTTCCCATCCCCATCTGCACCTGGCCCAGCGAGGCTGCCGCCACCGGCTCCGGCGTCAGCTCGGCATACACCTCCGTCCAGGGCCGGCCCAGCTCCGTAGAGAGCATGGCCATGGCGATGCCCGAGTCGAAGCTGGGCACCTTGTCGCACAGCTTCTGCATCTCTACCATAGCGGCAGGTGGGAGCACGTCGGGGCGGATACTCAGCGCCTGACCCAGCTTGATGTAGGCAGGGCCCAGGGAGGTTAGGATGCCGCGCAGGCGGATGGCGTGCACCACTGCATTGTCCCGCAGCGTCCCGGCCAGCGCGTCCCGCCCCAAGCTGAATAGGAAGCCGGCGCCGATGGCTGTTGGGGGGAAAGGGGAGGGGTGGAGAGAGCGAAGTGGGTTCTGCAGGGTTGTAAGTGTGGACAGCGGAGGCAGGTTCTTAGTACAACTCCTTGTGCGTTTCAAACCTGCCTAAAGAGTGAAACATCGACCCGACGTGGGCTAGCACCCTACAAGACCTTTACCCTGCACACCAACTGTCCTGCACCACCTTGTCCACCATCCAAACTCACTGAGGAGCTGGGTGATGCGCCTGCAGACGGCCACGGGCCTCCTGCCCCAGTACAGCTGGATGCCGGCGGGAGAGTACACCTGGGGCAGCTGCTCTTCATCCACGCCATCCACCATCTCCAGCAGTTGCATCTGCAGGGCAGAGCAGTGGTGCTTGGTGGAGACGCTGATGTGTGATCAAGTCAACAGTTCTCCATTCACTGGCCAGCCTGCATCACCACGCCTGGCATGGCCAACTTCTGCTGCAGTGCATGCATTCCCCGCCATGCCTGCACGAGGCTGACCTGGACGTCGTTCTCTGCAAAGTCAGATTGGGAAAGGTTCTTGCCCCTCAACCCCGCCATGAGCACTGCCAGGTCCTTGTTGTCCTCCATCTGGCCCCGCATGCGCTTCATCTCCAGCGCCATGTCCTTCATTGATGCTGTCTGGTAAGGGTTATAGATGGGGCAGGTCAGTTCCAGCGTTCTGCAGCTGACCATGAACCGGCCTCAAGCCCAGCTGCCAGCCGATCCCCCCCTTTCGTGTGCGGACCTTCGTCCCCGTCGCCTCTCGCATGGCGACATGGGGCACGACATGGAGCCTCCTCTTCAAGACGATGCCACGATCCGTTGATGTTGTGGCTGTAAAGCACGTCGAGCAGGGCCGAGGAGTGGTCGTGGCCGGCTTGCCGACCAGGGTGAGCTGGGAGGAGTGGCTGGACATGGAGCTATGCACGTGGCTAGTCCTCCATGGGAATATAAGCTCCGGTGAACAAGCACTCGATTCTAATGTTGGAGAATAAATCAGGATAATGAGCTTTGGGAGGCGCTCTGTCTTGTCTCGAACACAGGAATATGGAGTTTTGAGGCTGCGAAGTCGGGGCATCCTCGGCCTCTGGTTAACCCCTGTGCGTTATTCCGCGCGCGAATCTCCAGGGGCGGGCAATCAACCCTTCCCCCCTGTTCAAAGATCTGGGATGTAGACATCTGACAGAACCTTCATATCACATCCTGAAGTTGATTCCTTTACATGCGCTGTGAAGTCGGTAGGTTTTGGATGTTTTGTTACTTCATGAAGAATAAATGACATTGGACGCTTGAAAACCTGCATCAAACTTAGGTTCATGATAATCCCACAAGTTTTGTTGCTACTTGTCAGGATGAATGAGATGCCATTGGCTGCCCAGGAAAAGTCGTGCAAACCATGTCGCATCGCATTACAATCCATCAAGTTCCATGCTGCTGCATCGCATGGCACTGGCGGCTGCATGAAATCAAGGGTGCTAGAGGAAGGCTCAGCGACATGTTCTGCATGATCCTGGCTCTCACATGGTCCCTTACAGGAGACCAATAGGCAGCAGTCACCCAAGAACCAGCGAGCTCATTGGCTTGCAGCAAGTAAGGACTCTGCGATGAGGAATGGCGAGAGGACTGACTATTCAGCGCCGCCTTATTTCGTGCAGGGTCACGATTCTCCGGCTGCCTCTCACGAAAGCGTGTGCAATTATTATAGTCAAGGATACAGAGTTCTGGTCTGCGGAACCAATGGGGCCAAGCAGTCGACTCCTGCACGGCTTGAGTGGTGCAAGGCATGTGCAGGTCGTCATTGCGGAGGGAGCTCGTGGTGGCATGAGGGTGTCCCCCAAAATGGTACACATGCCACAAGTCCAAGATGGATGTGGCACCGTACAGATACAGAGACTTAGGATACAGGAAAATCGCACCCCACAGAAGCTGGGAGATTTGCTGCAGTGCAGAAGGCATGTCAGGCACGAGCATGGAAGTGGGGAGATGAAGTGTGCAGCGGCCAATCTCAGTCTCCGGTCCCCTACACAGGGCATGCCACCGCCCCCATTTGGCCGCTGTCCTCTCCTCTGGGGGCGTCCACCCCCCTCAAACACGCTCAGCGGAAGCGAGGCCCGACGCCCGCATCCCACACTCCCCACAGCGCGTCCCTGAGCCGCACGTACTGCGCGGCGGCCGCGGCGGCCGCCCCCGGCCCCAGCAGCGCCGCCGCGCCGCCCGTCGCCCCGCCCGCGCCGGCCCCGCCCCGGCGCTCGCCCTCCTCGGCGTACATGGCGCGCATCCAGTGCTCCACGTCGTCGTCGGCGCTGGGGGGTGGGGGGATGAGGCGCCCGTACACGGGCATCGGCATGACCTCCCAGCCCTCGGCGGTCGCGCCACCGGGGTCGACCAGCACAGTGCCCCCCCCCGTACAGCACGCTCTGCGCCAGCAGGCTGTGCGCGCCGGGGCCCTGGGGCCCCGCGCCGCTGAAGGCGAGGCGGTGCTGGGCGCCGGAGGCCAGCCGGAGGCACAGCGTGGCCAGCAGCGCGACGGGCGGCTGGCCGAGGGGTGCGGGACCGCCGACGGCCGCCGCCAGGCACCCCGCCGACCGCTCCAGCAGGTGCAGCGCGGCGCGGAGGGGTGCGCCGGAGCGGCGGCGGGCGACGTGGGGCCGGGCGCGGCGCCGGCATCGCCGGGCGGGGCGGGGAAGAGGCGCAGGGCGGCCGTGCGGGGGGGCTCCTCCGGCCACAGGTCCTCCCTCCCCCCGCGCGGCTCCCAGACCAGGGAGGTGGAGCCCTGGACGAGGGCGCGGTGCAGCAGGGGGAGGCGCAGCGTGCGTGCCAGCTGGTCCAGCAGGGTGCACAGCAGGCCCAGCGCCGCAAATTGCTGTGGTGGGGAGGGGGGGATTGGGGGGGAAGGGGGGGAGCAGAGGGTGTGCTGGGGTGGCGGGTTAAGTAAGGGACAATGGGGGGAAGGTACCAGCCAAGGAGGGTCTGTCGCCATGGGCCAGGGACCCTATGTCACATAAGCATACTGCATATGACAAAACTCTTCATGGAACATGTGCCGAGCCAGCGTTGTGTGCTGCCCCTCATGTAAACACAGCAAGGATGGATGGACAGCCTGCCCCGCCCGTGGTCCTTCGCTTCCCTCCCATCCCTTCTCTTCCGCTGCAATGATCAGCCTGCAGCTGTTCATCCCCTTCCGGCCACCGCCTCTCACCGGACTGGTGGGGAGCAGGACCTCGGGGTCGTCGCCGGGGTCCGGCAGGGGCAGCGTGGCGATGAACACCAGTGTGGGGTGCTTGTCCACAGTGCCGGCGGGGGCGGTGGCGCTGGGCTCCAGGATCTGGAGGGGGAACACGTCCAACAGCCGCTGGATGATCCTGTGGCCCAGGGTTTTGTGGGGGGGGAGATTGGAGTCGTGGATGTGCATGTTGGCACAGGGAGTTGATTGCTGGGTGCATGCGTCAGGTCACAGCCGCAGACTCGAGGCCGGGCTGGGACCCATCCAGCAGGGCAAGCCAAGGGATGCCCCGCACCGTCGCTGGAGCTCCAGGATCAGGCCGTCCATCTGGAGGAGGCCGGACTGGGCGTGGACGCCCGTCGAGAGCTGGGCATCCCGCTGCAGCTGGGCCTGGCTTGCAGCGAGCTGTGTGCAATGTGGGAGGGTTTGGGGGGAGTGATGAATGCCTCTCACACAAGGCCAGTCCCCTCGTCTGAGCAGGAGCGCCCAGCTCACTCCCCACCTCGGGCCAGCAGTGTTCCCTCGGCCTCACACACCGCAGTCACCCACACAACACCCTGCTACCTTCTTCTGAGCGTCGTGCAGAGCACGTGCCCTCCTCCTGGATTCCACCAGCAGCGCCTTTTGCCTAGCACGAGCTTGCGCCAGGGCATGGGCTGCCCTGGCCTGGGCGATCTTGATACGAGCCCCCTCCTCCGCCACTTGTTGGAGCCGCAAGGCATGTGCCTGGGCCTGGGCCTGGGAGATGGAGGGATGATTGAAAGCAATGTGGACGAGGAAACGGGCTTCCCCCAACTAAAGCACGCCCTGCACCTCGGGTTTGTAAAGGAGGAGCAAAACATGACCAGATGCCACAAGCCACACCGCACAGCGCTCCCGCCCACCTTGCCATGGCAAGCCTCCGCCAAGTGATGTAGCTGGGATCTATAGTCGTTCTGCAGCTGCGAAAGCTCTTCTCGCCTCCCCTCCAGATACTTACTAAAGTCCTGGGCGCACAAGTATGTTCTCCGCCGGGAGTCCCCGCACAACTGGCATCCCTTGTGCGGCGGGCCGGGAGCATCGGAGGGCATTAAGGGGATCACATGAAACTATCTTGAATATTGAGCAGGCCTTGCGGCGTCTGGATGCACCAATTTGATATGTAGTTAAAATTTGATCACTTCTTTCTCCGACACCCTTTCATTTCTGTCCGCGCGCGCGCGTGATGACTTTTCTGGGCGCCGCGACCGACAGAAAATCCCGTCAATGTGAAGAGTACACTTTGGGTACTCAAGCGCCCAACACACATTGAGTTCAGCTGCATTGCTGGGGTCGGGAATATTGCTTGGATCTCATCAGCAACAAAACAGCTCTGCAGGTGATCACCGTCCACTGTCTCAGCGCGAGGTAAGGATTCCTCGGGACATTGTTGGGGTGTCAATGGATGTCACGCATACCTTCACCCTGTTGTTGATGCGTGTGGTGCAGCGGTTCCACATAGCCACCTGCTGCTGCCCGCAGAAGGGCTTGCTGACTCATGGACCCTGAGATTTTGGACCTGGTGCGGTCCGCCATGGGCACCGTGCGCGTCCCGGGCCCAACAGACAAGGTGTACAAGGACGAGTGTGGGTTCAGCTTCGCCACTCCAGACTCCCAAGGCGGGCTGTACATTAATCTAGCCACCTTCCAAGCCTTTAGCGAGGAGTGGGTGGACCTCGACCAGCGGCGGACGGGGCAAGTACTCTACCTGCACGAACGCGGCATCAAGGTGAGGGTGTTGGCCGCTCTTCGAGAGTCGCCTCCCTCCTGCCTCCAGTTCACTGCCTGCATGGCAATATTCTTGAGCAAGCGCCCACTCACCTTCCTCAGGTGGGTCGTGAGTCAGGGCCCGCCGCTGATGCTCCAACCACCCAGCTGGCCATTGGGGTGGAGGGTGGCTTCGACATCGGCGACACCCCCAAGTACGATGTCGTCAAGGAGCATGCGCTCGTCCTCCTGCCAGCCCAGATCAGGGTACCCCTGCCATGTGCCGAGCTCCCAGAGCTGGTGCTGCAGGCAGTAGCGGCTGTGCAGGTATGTCTGTTGGACTCAATGGGGCTGTGCATGTGGGGCTGCAGGCACGGCAGCTTATATGGGCTGCCTTGGTGTGCGGGTATCGCCCACTGATGCTGTACAACTCAGAACTGGCGCCCCGTTTTACTGTCGCAAGACCCTGCAATCCCCCCCCCGGACCCCCCCTCCTCCCAACAGGCGCATGACAGTGCCAGGCGTCAGGATGAGGTGGCAGCGTGGACGGAGGAGCGGGTGGTGAGCAAGTATGCAGAGGGACTCGAGCAGCTGCCGGCCACTCGGAGTATCCCCATGGACCCAGCACAGGTGCCAACAGGGAGGCGAGGGAGTGGTCTAGGAAGGGGTGGGCTTCTTGCCCTTGGGTGTGTCGTGTTGGATCATATGGACAGGAAAACGCGTTCTCAGGGTCGCTGAGCTTTCCCCAATAGACAAGGGTGCGTTGCACTGCCTCGGAAGGTGTGCCGTGCACCCCAACCTATACAATTCATGCATCCACTGGACCCATCCCACAGTGGAAGTGCGACGAATCTGGCGCCACGGAGAACCTGTGGCTGAACCTGTCCACCGGCTTCATCGGCTCTGGCCGTCCGGTGAGCCACTTTGGGGTGTCAAGTGCGCGACCACCAAGCATCAGCATGGGGTTGTGGGGCTGCATACTGGGTCTTTCGCCCATGCCAGACCTCCACCTCAGGCCCTCGCCACCACACGCACGAGCCTCACTCTCCCACCCCCCCTGTACAGAACTGGGACGGCACGGGCGGCAACGGCGCAGCCCTGCGGCATTACGAGGCCACCGGGCGCAAGTACCCGCTGGCCGTCAAGCTAGGGACCATCGCACCCCAGGGCGCCGATGTCTACTCCTATGCCCCGGAGGAGGACGACATGGTGCTGGACCCCCACCTGGGCCGACACCTGGCGCACTGGGGCATCAACATGCTGCAGGTGGCTGGTGGGAAAGGTGTCGTTTAGAAGAAGGAAAGGGAGGTGGGGAGGTGGGGGGCCTGATTGAGATGGTGGGTGGGTAAGGCTGCTGAGCATGCCCGCTCACTGTGACTCTGAGAGGAGGAATCATGAGCCCTACCACATTGTGGTCCCCTTGTGTAACGGTATGTTGCGTGCCCTGTGGTGGCTGGCTGGGGCCGTACATTTTCACAGTGCTGCGCCGCACGAGGACGCCCTCCACCCCTTTCCCCTCTCCCCTGCTGCAGATGGAGAAGACGGAGGCCACCATGACAGAGCTGCAGATAGCAAAGAACATCGACTTCGAGTTTGAGCGGATGACCGAGGCCGGTGCGACGCTGGAGCCCTTGTCTGGTGCCGGGTGCGCATGGCCGACCTGGGGATGGTTTGGGGGCCCGATTGGGGGGTATAGGGGCCTGCTGATCAGATCTGCAAGAGATCAGGACTTCCTGGTGCGGATGGCATGCAGTCCTGCTGGTGGTGTGGTGGGGATGAGGAAGTCCTGAGGTAGGTGAGCGCCACGTGTGAGGGCCCACATAGCTCATGCCTGTCTCCCAATGGGCTTTCAACGCGCCATCCCTCTCATTGCCCTGGGCAGGCATGTAGGCCTGAAGAATCTGGGCAACTCCTGCTACGTGAACAGCGTGCTCCAGGTCCTGTGGTCCTTCCCAGAGCTGGATGCGCGGTACCTTGCGCAGTACCGCTCTGTCTTCGAGACGGCGCCGCGGGTCGTGCCAGATGACCTCCTGACCCAGGTGACCATTCTGGGAGTGTTGCCACTGTGCCAGACAAGGGACTTGTGCCATGGGTTTGAGGGGCGTCCCTGGGTGCTTCAGGAAATCAATGGCCTGCAAGGGGTGCCCGGGGCGTGCTGGCTACACGAGCACGACCACACGCCTGCCTTTGCAGTGGGTCAAGCTGGGAAGGGCACTGGTGCACGGCCTGACGCCCAAGGAGGAAGGCGAGGGGGGAGGGGAGGCGACGCCCCTGACCTCTGTGGCGCCCTCCACCTTCAAGACCCTGGTGGGGCGGGGGCACGCCGAGTTCTCCACCAACCATCAGCAGGTGATTTGGGAGGGGGATGTGTTTATGAAGATTGTGGGGTGGTTGGGCAGCCGGGGCTGGACTGCAGTTCTAGACCATAGGAAAGGGACAGTCATATCTGGGCATTTGCATTGGCAGTACTTCCCCTCCTGGAGAATCGTTGCCAAGGTTTGCATGGCATTTCAGCGTCGCCATCACTCAGCTACAGCGTCACATTTGACTGTGGTATGCAGCACACATTGCGCCCACCTAATGATCATACTCACCCCCCTGAACCCTCCCCTCAATGCTCTGCACGACACAGGACGCTGAGGAGTACCTGGGCTACCTGTTGGATGCGCTGGAGAAAACGGAGCGCGCCGCAGGACCAGACCGCCTTGTGTGTGGAGGGGAGACTCCAGCTCCCAAGGAGCTCGTCACATTTGAGCTGGAAGACAGGATCCAGTGCACTGTGTCTGGCAAGGTGAGGACCAGGCATCATCGGCCGTGTGCCACTGCACCCTGCCGTCGTGTACACTGGGGTCTCACCCTCTTGCCTGTCCTCTCCTTCTCCTTCCATCGACCAGGTGACTTACAAGCGCTCCAAGGCGACGAGCCTTGGGCTGAGGATTCCTCTGGATGCAGCAACGAACCGCGCTGAGCTTGAAGCTCGCGACCAGAAGCGGCAGCGACTGGAGAATGAGGCTCCTGAGGGCAGTGTTGACAAGAGGGTGGGCTGCGGTGGGGATGGCGCGACGGTGGTGACAGCGCTGGGGGAATGACCCTTGCATTCTACCCTTGGGATCAGTGTCTCTGGCTCGGCTCCCTGTGTTTTCTGGTGTCAGACCCTTTTGCCCTGTCTTTCGCAGGAGGCCAAGGACGCCGACCCCCCAGTGCTCCCGCGGGTGCCCCTCAGCGCTTGTGTGGCGGCCTTCATGTCCGAGGCCACCATCGACGACGTGTTTTCAGCCGCACTGCAACAGAAGACCATGGTGCGGACACGTGGGAGTGGGCAGCCTAAATTGCTTGAAAGAATCATTCTGTGCTTGTTTGCAAAGCATTATGGCCTATGGCAATGATTCCTACCCATGAGGGTCCCAAGTGTCATCTTGTGGAGCACTTGAATGGCCTCGGTCAGCCGGATCTGATATGGCAGTCCATTCACAGCACCCACCAAGCTGCCCACTGCTCCTCGCCCCTGCACAGGCTGCCAAGCGAACGCGTTTTGCAACCTTCCCGGAAGTCCTGTTGGTCCAATTGAGGAGGTACTACGTTGCAGAGGACTGGACACCTCGCAAGATGGAGGTAGCAGTGGACATGCCGGCTCGGCTGTCGCTGGAGGCCTGGAGATCCAGCGGTGTACAGGTGCGTGCATTGCGCTGAGGGGGCAGTAGGATTGATTCCCTGATGCCTGGTCTCCTGAGCACGGTTCACCGTGCCTTCTGTGGGTCTTCCACACCCTCCCTGCACTGTGCTCGTCCCAGGAGGATGAAGAGCTGCAGCCTGAGACGCAGGAGGACCCTGGGGCTAGTGCCACTGGGGACGCTGGCTCGACCGCGCCCGTGCCGACGCTGGTGGATGAGGGCCTGATTGCGCAACTGGTGGGCATGGGTTTCTCTGAGCCGGGAAGCCGCAGGGCGGCCGCTGCGGTGAACAGCGCCGGGCCCGAGGCGGCCATGGAGTGGCTGCTGGCGCACATGGACGACGCCGGGATCAATGACCCCCTGCCCGACGGCGGGGCAGGCAGCCAGTCCCAGCCCAGCGCCGAGGCCGTCTCTGCCCTGACCGGGATGGGGTTCACGCCGGCGGCGGCGAGTGCGGCGCTGCAGGCCTGTGCGGGGGACGTGGAGAGGGCCGCAGACTGGCTGTTCAGCCGCATGGACTCCCTGGCCGAGCTAGAGAGCGCGGAGGTGAGGGATTCGGAGGCCACGCCCTTGGCCTCCCGAGTGAGGGACGGGCCGGGGGAGTACGAGCTGTCGGCCTTCATCTCCCACATGGGGGCAAACACGGCCTGCGGGCATTACGTCTGCCACATCAAGAAGGTGAGGAGGATGCCGTTGTCCAGATGTCTATGGACGGTGGTGAAGATCTTCCTGCCCGGGGATTACTTGGTGGTGCCAGGGATCTCAATGCAGCACTGCCCTTCAGCTGTCAAGGCATGAGCACACTTTGTCCCCTTCCACATGGCCATTGTGAAAAGCTCAAGAACGTGATTTGCATGTTGCCCACCGTCTTCCTCACTCGCGTACTGCCCATACATTCTGCAGGGCGGCCGCTGGGTGCTTTTCAATGATGAAAAGGTGGCAGCATCCTCGACTCCGCCCACAGAGCTGGGGTACCTCTACGTCTACCGGCGCGTCAGGCTGTGAAGCAAGAGGCCTGCAACCTTGATACCCAGCATCAGGCTCCCTTGCTTCCAATAGTTTTACAAGTGTGGTAAATGACCCCAGAACCCGGTCTGACAGTTCTCCTCAGGCAGGACACAGCCTTGCGAGTTCATCACATGGGACGAGAAAATGTATCAAATTCCCTGTGCTCATATACCTACTCAGCAGGGCTCTCGTGCGTGTTCGTTCATGATCTCAATAGAATGAGTCACTGAGGGATGTGATCATGGACGGGACCTACTTCCGGGCACCTGACCTTGGCCTGCCCCAAGCCTCGCTCCAAATCGAGGGAGCCAGCTGGAAGCTCATGAGTTTGCAGCCACCGCTTGGCCGCCGTACACGTGCTGGTACACCCCTGAGAAATCGATGGCCGGTCCAGCCTCCGTCGCCAGCTGGCGGTACAGCTCGGCGGCGGCGGCTGTCATGGGCAGGGCGGCTCTGCACTGCGCCGCCGCCTCCTGGGCCAGCCCCAGGTCTTTGCTCATCAGCGCTGCCGCAAAGCCGCCGGTGTACTCCCGCGAAGCCGGGACGCCCTCCATCACGCCCTGCAAGAAAAGAGGCGGGAGGACTGGGCATCATGCTGTTGCAGACACTGGAGCGAGGAGTCTCAATCTCCAAGTGTCCCTCGACCCGTCGCGTTGCTTGTTGGCATGCAGAGGCCATGCTTTTCCCACTATCCTGCATGGATTGATAGCTCACCAGGCACACTCCACAGCACTGCCTCGCATGCCTACCACCCCCCTCACTGTAATCCCCGTCCCTCCAAACCCACCGGCACGGGATTGTAGGTGTCTGCCGACCAGCACCTGGCCGAGGAGCCGTTGAAGATCTTGGTGAGATTACGGGCGTCCAGGCCCAGCCTCTGGCCCAGGGCCAGACCCTCCGCCACCCCAGCCATGCTCACGCCCAGGACCAGGTTGTTGCACAACTTCGCGGCCTGTCCCGCCCCGGCCTCCCCGCAATGCACCGTGGCTCGGCCCATGGTGCCCAGCAACCCCTGGGCTCGCGCCACGGCTTCTGCCGGGCCCCCCACCATGAAGGTGAGCGTGCCGGCAGCGGCACCGCCCACCCCGCCGGACACGGGGGCATCCAGCATGGCCGGCGCAGTGCTGGGCGCTCCAGCCGCCCCCTCAACCACGTCGGGGTGGAGGGTGGTGCGGGCCGCTGCAGCCGCCAGGTCGCGGGAGGTCAGGGGGTCGATGGTGCTGGAGTCGATGAGCAGGGAGGGCCGCAGCGTGCGGGGCGGCAGGCTGAAGATCCCAGTGGGGCCCAGGTATGTTTCCCGAACCGCGGCGCTGGAGGGCAGCATCGTCACCAGCGCCTTCAGACCTGTGCATTTGTGGAAGGATTGCGTGTTGGGGGGGAGGGGGGGGTGGGGGGGTGATGAAGGGGGAGGGCAGTAGTACAAAGTCAAGTAGCAGGGACGGTGAGAGCAGAGGGCATCGATACGTCCATGTCGTTGGAGTTCGCGTCTGAACGGACAGACTATTCAGCAACGTCAGGCCCAGTGCACTACAGCGTCCTGTGAAGAAGCATGGAGGTATGAGATGCACCGCACCCGGGGTGGAGGCCAGCTGGGCTGGAGTCTCGGCCTGCAGAGCCCCTGCTTGTTGCAAGGCCGCCACGGCTTTTGGTGACCGATCACACACTATCACTCTATATCCCGCTGCAAGTAGATTCCGGGCCATGCACGCCTGTGAGGGAAGGGGACATGTTTAAAGGCTGGATGCCATTCCATTTTCTAATTTTCGTGAGGTCTCAATCGCGATCAAGTAAAGTACTCACCCCCATGTTGCCGATGCCGATGAAGCCGACGAGGGACGGCATCGAAGTCAACTGCAGCGATGGCCCGTGATTCCCCCCGTAGCTTGACTTGGGAGTTGCAGAGCGCAGATCAATCCCCAATGCTTTCTCCAGGAATGTCGAATCCTTCCAAAGGCGGTATTGTGCCGAGTGCAACTTAGTATTCGCCACGCGGGGTCCGCGGGGTACTTCTGCTGTCGGAAGTCCAGTCAGCATTCTCGCGGGACCCTCGGATCCGAGAAAGCTTTTCCGATACCCACATATCACCAGAAACAGCCCTCCTTGGATACCTTTCCTCGACCAAATTATCTTTTCATTTGTAACTGCAGCCCTCTCGCTTACGGTCGTACCTTGGGTTCTTCCGACGGAGCAAAGAGTACTTCCGACACACCCGCCCTCGAGCCTGTTGTCTTCTCGAGACTCCGACCTCAGATCTGCTATGCAGGTCAGACCAGTAGGTCACCAGGACACACATTCAGCATCTCGGACATGCTGGAGTGCGGTCGCCCCATCGCCCTTCGGGCTCATGTCCCGAGACACCACTCATGTACCATACCCCCACCCCAATGCGCAGTTCTCGCACGACACCCCTCGATCCATTAGGGTACGCCTGACCCGGGGACGTCCCCAGAAAAGCCGGCATGAGCAGGCTGCCGTTACCTCGAGCAATGGGTGCACCGACATCATGCTTTCCCCCACCGGTCGCGAGTCCTTGGGCCCCTGGTCGGGGGCATTCGAGGAGGCCTCCTCCATCCCCACCAGCCCCACCGTCTTCAGCGACGGGAGCGGCGTGATTTTCTCCGACCTCAGGGGCTCCCCAGTCCCCTCCTTCACTGAGGGTCAATTGGAGGAGGGAGCCTCCCAGAAGGAGCGAGAGCTGATGGATGCGCCACTCCCCAGGGACTCGCGTCGCAGGCATGGCGCCGCACCAGCCCCTGGCATGAACGACACCTGGGTGGACAACCATGTCCACCCATCCAACAGCGGAGGCTCCCGTAGGCGCATGCGGGGCCTGATGCAGCCCACCCGTGGCCAGGCGTAAGAGTCTCATGTCGTAACCCTGTACCTGCGAGGCAGTGCGCCACTTTCGCCGCCAGGACATCCCCTGATGCATCACGCTGTTCTTGCGATGCACCCCCTCTTTCCAAGCAATGTCTTCCTCTGTACCAAAGCCAGTTGGCGGTTGAGCCACGAAGCGTCGCCTTCTTGCACTCAGCACCCGCTGTGCCCCTGGCCCCTTTGTTTCTTCTAACCCGCCCTGGTGGCATTTGTACCTGCACACCACCACGAGCATGTTTGCTCCACCAATTCCCAGCCCAGCAACGCATGCGACAGCCGGGCGTTTTTTGCCATGGTCATTTGTGGCCCTCATCTGTAATCACCACTGTCCTGCACGCTGCCGAGCCTGATGTCTCTTATTACTGTCAAGTCTTCTGTAATACTATGATTTCTCGCTGGATCGAGGCGCCACCGCCCTCCACTGCCAGAGACCTGATCGAAAAGCCTCCCTTGGCTTCCACCGCGTTCTTGAATGCATTGGAGCTGCCGCCGACGCCAAAGTAGTAGGATTTCGCGGCCACGAGCGCTTGCCCACCCGACCTGAGAGCCTGCAGGAGGTCCACGGCCATGGGCAGGGACATGTGCAGTGCAGAAACAAGGCTCACAGCTGGGACGCCAGGGCAGACTGAACGCTGTGTGATTTGAAGGACCGTCCAGGTGCCATGCTCTCCTGTTTCGGCACCTCATCCATGACGGTGCAGATCACCCAGGTGCACAGATTGCAACATGCCCGATGGCCCTCCCAAGATATAGTATCTCAGGAATCGCCTGAAACCCCTCCTCTCGCACCGTGTCAATGCAGGCCAGCAGGTAGGGCATGCTGCTCAGGCTGTAGATGGTCTCTGAGGTGAGCACGAGGTCGTAGCTGCCGGCCAGCCCCTCCGCCGCCAGGAAGGAATCCAACGCCGCCCATGGCCCACCCAGGAAGCGAGCCGGCGGGTTCTGTGCCGCTGGCGCAGCAGGCGACCCCCTCGTCTGCCATGCCTGCCAGTTGGCCAGCACACTCGGCGCCGTCACTTCTCGCAGGACCTCTGGATTATAGTCCTGCTTGCAGGCAATGGGGAGTCCAGGTCGCGGTGAGCGAACGCTGCAGAGGCGGTGCAGTGTCCCACAATTTGCATCGGCGGCTCTCGCTGCCAAGCATCACAGGTGGGACAAGGATTGCCCCAGAAAAAACAGCCCACCTGAAAGTGGACCTCCGCTCCCTGGCTGAGAGCAACAAGCCCTGGGATGCCATGTCCACAGCCCAGCTCGATGACTTTCTGCCCCCTGAAAGCCAGTCCGGGCGGGGCATCTTGCGCAGCTACCAGCTGACCCTGGTGCTGACATAGGTACTGGGCCAAATCCATGGCTCCCTCCCACAGCTTAAAGCCTCCTGTATAAAAGTGGGGATGGCAAGAGGGCCAGAGTCTGTGAGATAAAGGTCCATTGTGCACGAGTGGGGAGGGTGCAGATTTCACCATTCTCTCATTCTGACCCTCATCTCCCGCACACGCCACAGGTCCTGACTCACCCTCGTACTTCCCAGGAACAAGGTCCGAGCCCGAGCAGTCTGCATCCTGCAGAAGCTCTTCGGCCTCTTGGCTGCCCAGTGTGCTCTATAACCAAAAAAAAGAATGAATTCTGTTGCTGCACTAGAATAAGTACATTATCTGTAGTTCACCAACTGGGCAACCACCACCCTAGACCCCCAACCTTCAGGAGCGATAAGTTTTCAGTGATGGGAAACATCTGAAAGTCATATCGTTTTGCCGCCTGCACATGGGAAGGTGCCAGGGAGAACGATACTTAGAGCAGGGACGATAATGTCACAGATGCATCATGCTTTCCAAGACTACCCTAGGCCAACCTGTTCGAGGCCGAGTTCCATAACTGCCTCGGCTACAAGCCCAGACGCAGAGGAGGGTGCATCATCTATAACCTCGCTGCTCTCTTCAGTCTGAAAATTGAACTTGAACATAGCCCACAGTGGCCAGGGCCGCAACGTCGGTGAGGGTGGCTTGAGCAGACGTCACCCACGAGCTGGGTCAGTTTGCGACACAGTCGCGAGCCATCAAAACCGATCTGTCATAAAACTACAAGTATATGGATCTGGTGAAGTGGGTGCCGCTCTAACAGCGCAGCTAAATATGGTAGAGATGACGGTGCTCGCAACATGGCGCCCGCGCGCTGAAGTCGCGGTGCATGATCTCTCTCAGCAGCTTGTTGATCCCATCCGCATTCACGCCACTATGGATGCGTACGAAAAGGAGTGAATGTTTTAGAGCAGGCGTATACCGAAGCCATTGGAGTCCTGCAGACCGTCGATCCAGCACAGATCACTTCTCGACGAGGACCCCGATCATTCTTGTGCACACCACACATAAGATCATCAGACCTGAAATCTAACTGGATGTAGGAACCGAACAGGTGGACTATAGACATGGCGGGCTCCTTGCGGCTGTCTCTGGTGGACACTCAGCTCAAGCACTTCAAGCTGAGTCTTCAAGCCTTGGCCAAGATTGGAACGGATCTCCTCATCGAGGCCCTGCCGACGCGTGTGAGCAGATTGCCCAGCTTGGCAGAATGTTTGCATTCAACTGATTGTATGCATCTGCCATCTGACCTGGCATTGGCTCAGGCCCGCCCGCGCCATGACATTCCCGCTTTGCTCCCTCCTGCAGCTCATCCTGCGGTGCATCAACCCCTCCCGCTCCGCCTACCTGTCGCTCACCTTTCACGCCTCGTGCTTTGATGCCTATGACGTGTTCCGCTCGGAGGTCGTCCAAGCGGGGGTGCTCATGAAGGTGAGCGCAGGAGCGGCTGTGCTGGTAGTGTCTTTGTACTCCATGAATCCTGCGCAGCATTCTTCAGCGACACCCACCTGGCGCCTGCAAACCCGCGCAGCAAGTATTGGCAGTATTCAGGACTCAGCGCATTAATAGACTTAACCTGGACCTTGGGTCCGACGGTGACTGGCTGGAGGTGGTCATCTTCTGTGACAGCGGTGCGTGTGGCGGTGCGCATCGCATCCATCACTTGGGCTCCTCGGCAAGTTTGACTTGTCCCCCTTGAACATCCATGCTCATGCGTTTCCCAGCATGGCCACACTTTTGTGAGGCATGATCCGGCCGTCCCGCCTGGCAATCAGCTGGGCAGTCAGCCAGCACTCTACTCCTCACGCGCAGGGCTCCGCAAAACATTCCGCATGCGGACCACGGAGGCCGAGATCCTGCAGGCGTCGGTGGATCGAGCAGGGTTCCCCATCACCCTCACAGCTGAGACACAGTCCCTGGCCAGGTCTGCTGGAGGAGTAGGTGATTTGCCCAATGCATGGGCCGGCTCTGGCTGATGGAGCCCATGTTGGTTTGAGTGCAAGCCTGAAAATGATGACTTGTCCACACAACTCATCCGTGTCCTTCCGTCTAGGCTGCTGGCCAGTTTCCAGTGGGGCCTAGAGGAACTGACCCTGGTTGCTGTCCCATCCTCGGCATCAGACCCCAACGGAGCCGTACAGCTGCACAGCCACGCAGACCCCAGCAGAGGTGGTATGGGCTGGGGGCGCTGCATGGTGGGACTGGGGGGTGCAGAGCGGGTCATGCGTGCCTCATGGCAATTGACGTAGCCATGCCACACCTCTCCCTTCCCCGGGGCATGGCCATCTAATGTGCCAGATCCCCTTTCTACACAGCAGACAATGGTCAAGGCGCTCTCGTGACCAAGCTGGCCATTGACGCTCGCCGGACTTTCCTCGAGTACCAGCACACGACGGGTAGGGTGTAAGGATGCATGCTGATGGGACTGGGCGGCACTGCCGCAGTCGTGCAGCGCCTGGACCCGATTGGCCACCCTGGTGGGCATTAAGCAGGAGACGAATTGAGCAATGTTTTACTCGCAATGCACCTTGACTGTTTTCTCTGAGTTACAGAGCGCTGCACCCATCCCCACTGCCTCCCGGCATCCCTCATCCGCCCCCAGATGGTGTGCGGTCTGTGACCTTCAATGTCAAGGACTTCAAGGCCATGCTCTCACTTTGCGAGCACCTCGGCCGCCCCTTGGTGCTGAGGATGGAGGGCCCCGGCCTGCCCTTGATGGCAGAGCCAGGGGGGGAGGGGGGCGGGGAGCTGGAGGCGCAGCTGGTGCTGGCCACGCTGATGGAGGGCAACGACGGCCTGACCCAGGCAACTGGAGGGGCACCCGCCCCAACGCAGCCAGAAGTCCACACGGATGGTGAGTACGGGACGGAATGGTGTCGCAGACGTGCAGAAGGGCATGTGCTGAGCCGCATACAATGCAATACTGTGCTACATGCTCGCCTACAATGTACCAAACTTCAGCACCAGCCCATGGTAATGTAATCGAAGCTTGCCTCCGACTATAATCTCCAAGTTTCCTGTGCAGGCCCTTCCCAGGAGACCGAGAATCGCATCTCCACGGCACGTTGGGATGCCCCAGACGCAGACCTCAGGTGCAGACTGTAGGAGTGATGGTGGTGCGCCGTAGCGGAGTTCGTGCATATTACTGCAAACGGGCCTCGGGATGGAGATGTGCAAGGAATCACATAGATTACCACTTTAACTGAGGGGATGAACACCAATCAATGCAGTGGAGCAAATGGCGAGGAGCAGGAGGTCGGCGGGAGTCCGCTCAGGGAGGAGTATGTCGGGGGCTTGCCAGGAGTCATGACCGACCATGAATGGGCCTGATACCCACTAACAGAACAGATGCACCCCTTGACCGGCGCCGATGACTTGTTCAACTTTTACAGATGTATATTCATGTTCCTATGCATAGATTCGTGAAATATGCTTGATCATACGATCGCGATTTGTCGACCGACCGATGACTAGCCACGAAGGAAACTGTGAATGCAAAGTTCGACGGCACCCCTGTACCCCTCCATGCTAGGCAATTGGAGCGAACTTCACGCCCAACCACCATTCGAGGCCACTTTTCATGCATTACCCATATTGCTGAGCCACGCGGATTACCCCAGAATGTGGCCGTTCCGATGCTGCCAGGTCTGCTCTCGGGCACCCCCGGTCACCGACGAGCCGGCACCTGCTGAGAAGAAGCAGGTACCGACGACACCACCGCAGTCACTAGAACTAATTCGAGCGCATAGTAGATCTGGCTCGCGCATTCTGCAGAACGCAGACTCTGGCGCCAGTCGGCAGCGTGCCGGCCCGAGTCAGTCGCTGCTGGAGGCGTCGGCACGGAGATTGGCATCAGTGACGGAAACCGACGTCAACGAGGCAGTGGTATGGGACCTAGACGACCAAGGGATCCCGCAAATGTTCCTGGATGCCTATTTCGACGCCATCAAGCAAGAAAATGCCAAGTGAGTTGATTGGGGAAGGGCTGGTATATGGATGGGTGTCTTGCAACATGATTGTAAAAGGAGATTAAAGGGCTGGAGTGGCTTGCACGGCATTAGACCCAAACCCTAACTACCCGGCATACACAACACTGAATGCCAAGAAGCCTCTGACCTTCGATCACGCTCATTATCTGGTCAGGTGGGCGATTGATAACCCTGCAGTGGCAGACCTGTTTGCCGAGGATGCCAAAATGCTGACACAAGACAAGCAGAATCTGACCGGACGGCCTGCCATCCTGAAACAGCTTGAAAAAGGTGCGGCGTTAGCAAGGTTGATGCAGACCGTCCTTCCTTTTGGATTACCAGTGCTTTGCCTGGTGTGACATCTGTGTGGCGGCAGTGCCTGATCATGCCGGCTGTAGATTTCTGGGCCCTATCAATCCAGTTACTTGGATTACAGGTGTGCTCCCCTCTTGCCTTAAATATTTCTTCATCCAACTGTGCTCTGATCTCTTGTATTTGCAGGTGTCGGGCTCCTCGTCAAGATGGGAGGAAAGTCTGGCGATGTCCCAGAAGTGACAGTGGAGGGGCCATCACGCACGCCGGAGGGGTACCATGTGATGAAGTGCAGCATGAAGCGAGGCCTAAGAACCCTGTCTTTCACCCTAGAGTTTCACATCAAGGGCGGGAAGATCCAATATATGCAGAACACCCGGTCATAGACAGTGTAGGACGGTCGAATGATCCTGAGGTTTGCATTTTATTCCAGACAGGTTCCCAAGGAGATGACCCCGTGCCTGTGTACTCCATTCCTGCTGCAAGATGTAAGCATCGTGACATCATTACAGGAGATTCATGGACGAGTGAACTGACAACCACAAGGCCATTCCTAGCAAGGCCGATGCAAGAGACCCTGTCGCATATATCTAGACAGACTGAGGCAGCCCAGGGTTTCAGGGCGTTGAGGGCCAGAAGGACATCTGTTTTGGGTCAGTGAACGGGGTCATAGAATGTTGACAGGTTGCATGTTACATGAGAGGTCAGGGCTTTGAGAAGCTTAAATGCTGATCTTGCAGGGTTTCTTGGATAGATGTTGAGGACGCGGTGGTGCTGTGCGTGATGAGCAAGCTCGAAGTCTCTTCCGCGCGCGCGCGCTTCGTTATTCGGTATGCATGTAGCGCACCCACGAGTCACTGCCCTTTCCTTGCATCTGGACTCACCATGCATATGAAATAAGATGAAGCCTGCTTATTCACCGCGATGAGCGCTCGTACGGGGTTGGGGCGCCTGGGTGGGTCTCTGTCGGAGGACCGCGCCCTGGCCGAGCGATTGGAAGCCCTGCTGTCCTCTCTGGAGGGCAGCTTAGACCTCGACGATCTTTCCTCCAGCTTGAGAGATAGGTACCCCGAGTACAGGAGGAAGAAGACAGGACCATTCAAGCAGCTGGTGGTGAGGGGCCTCGAGACTGTGCGCAGAAAGCACCCGGAACTTTTCGCCGACGAGGTGCGAGAAGGTGGTGCAAGAAAGGAGCTTGAAGATTGGGAGCCAGTCGACCTTCTCTAATGTCCCAGCTATTGCTGTTCTGCCACGACAGGAGGATGCAGAGGAGGACGAACCAGCGCTTGCCTCAGGATCTGGTGCTTCAGCCCCAGCTGGTCTGAACAGGAGTCTGAACAACCTCTACAGGCAGCCCGAGGAGCAGCCAACTGCAGCAGCTGGAGAAGCTTCCGGGGACATGGCAGGCCTGAATATTGGTGAGACGACTCTAGAAGCCGCACCCACAGGTCAAGCCACCACTTCAGCGCAAGCGGTCCAGCAGCAGCAGGGGAAGCGTGCTGGCACCCCCTCAAGGTATACATCAGATGCAGTGGCGTATGGGTGCAATGGGGGCAGAAAATCAAATGTCATGTATTGAAGGCCGGTCTCGCTTAGGAAAAGGATCAGAAGGCTCTGTGTGAGTATCACAGCTGGTTCCCATCTGGGCTCAGTCTAGTCCATCAGGCCATCCCTGTGCCATTACCAGCGCCTCCCTGCACACCACAGGCCAGGGTCAAGCAAGAGGGCTCGGGTTGCTGGGGGCGTGCGCCTTGCCTCAGCCCTGGCCGACCCACGGCCCGTGTTCTACGCTGATCTGGGCGGCATTGAGAGCGTGCTGGAATCCATCAAGGAGCTGGTGGAGCGACCATTGCGCCACCCAGAGGTTGGCTGATGCTGGTCCACAATGCCTGTTCACTGGGGTCGCTCGTGCATCCTGGCGTGCACCCTGCCAGTCTGGTCGGGCCTGCTACAGGTGCTTGCCTGAAGACGGGGGTGCCCATCTATCCCCCCCTCCTCCTACTTCCAGGTGTACGACTGGCTGGGGGTAGAACCCCCCCGCGGTGTCCTTCTGCACGGCCCCCCGGGCTGCGGCAAGACGGCCCTGGCCAACGCCATTGCCAACGAGTGCGGCGTCCCCTTCTTCCGCTTGTCAGCTCCGGAGGTGGTCAGCGGCATGTCTGGCGAGTCGGAGGCCAAGCTGCGGGGTGTGTTTGCCGAGGCGGCCGCAGCCGCCCCCGCCATCCTCTTCATCGACGAGATCGACGCCATAGCCCCCAAGCGCGAGTCGGCGCAGCGCGAGATGGAGCGCCGCATCGTCGCCCAGATGTTGACGTGCATGGACGACCTGGCGGCGGCCGGCTCCGGTGGTGCACCCCGGGGTTCCGCCGCAGCAGAGGCCGGGCCGGGCATGGAGGTCGACGAGGAGGTCCGGCGGGAGCCTGGGAAGCATGTGGTAGTCATTGGCGCGACTAACCGACCCGATGCCATCGACGCCGCGCTGCGCCGCGCCGGGCGGTTTGATCGGGAGATCCCACTCGGCATCCCCTCTGAGGAGGGAAGGGCACGCATTCTTGAGGTGATGAAAGAAGGTGTTGGGGGAATGGAAGGCTCGAGGGACGGGAGCCCTGGGCTGAGCAAGGTAGCGTCGCGAAGGTCTTCGAGTTGCTCGTCAGGGCGCACTGGGTGGCCCCATCACCCCACCTCGCCCTGTGGCCCTGCCCAGGTCCTGGCGCGGCCGCTGCGACTCGAGGGCAGCTTCGACTTCAAGGCCATCGCCAAGAAGACCCCGGGCTTCGTGGGTGCCGATCTCTCGGCCCTGATGAAGGAGGCGGCAGCCCTGGCCGTGAAGCGCATCTTTGCGTGAGTCTTTGACCTGTAGGAGGTGCCGAGTCATGACTGCTGGGGGTCGATTGTTGCGATGTGCCAGGCAGTGAGAGGTCAGGTGGAGCCTGCATAGCGTGGGGGGTACCTGACCCCCGTGTGGGGAAGGCATGTATCAGGGTCCTCGTTAACACCACTCACCACCACATCCCTCTGCTGTTTTGAAGGGATTTGGAACAGGTTCGGCTGGAGGAGGGGGCCATGGCAGAGATGGTGGATGCGCCAGCGACCCCGCAACCCCACGTCAGTGGGCCCACGGCAGCCGGCGCCGGTGCAGATCTGCAGGAGCCTCCTGCGGCCTCGGGCAGGCAGGCAGGGGAGCAGGATACCTTGACCCCTGCTGAGCTGGAGGGCCTGGCGATCACGATGGCGGATGTGGAGTCAGCGGTGGGCAAGGTGCAGCCGTCTGTGAGACGTGAAGGGTTCGCAACCACACCAGACACGACGTGGGAGGATGTGGGGTCCCTGCAGGAGGTGAGTGGGCGAGTGGCTTACTTTGCCGGGATGTGTGTCAGATCATGTGCGCTCGATGAGCAGCACGTCCAGTAGTCCCAGGTTGTCTGAAGCACAGGGGCCACAGGTCCTGTACTGCGCAGGCTGCCTGCAGTCTCCATCACTGCCATATCTGTGCATGCGAGTCATTCAAGGCAGGCAGATACAACATACCGTCCTTCCATCCCAATGACTCCCCAGATTCGGAACGAGCTGGACTTTGCCATCACCCAGCCCATCGCCAACCCAGGCATCTTTGCTGCCATGGGCCTGCAGCAAGGAGCTGGCGTGCTGCTGTATGGTCCACCAGGTGGGCTCTATCGATGCATTCAGAGGGATGAATGGCCCGGGCGCTGCCATGTGAGCTCCTGTGTCAGTGCTGCCCTGCCCACCCGCATGGCTGTGCCTCGATGCCTGAGTTTTCACACTGACACTCCCCACGCTTTCTCCCCCAGGCTGTGGAAAGACGCTGGTGGCCAAGGCGGCGGCGGCGGCGTCCGGGGCCAACTTCATCTCCATCAAGGGCCCCGAGCTGCTCAACAAGTACGTGGGCGAGAGCGAGCGAGCCGTCCGCCAGCTCTTTGCGCGCGCGGGCGCCGCGGCCCCCTGCGTCCTCTTCTTCGACGAGATGGACGCGCTGGCCCCGCGCCGCGGCGGCGAGACCAGCCAGAGCAGCGAGAGGCTTGTCAACCAGGTGAGGGTGTGGCGGCGGGCGATGGGTCGGGGGCCTGATGGTCTGACACATGGCCCTGGATTGACCTGTGCGAGGGCTCGAGGGGGGTTTGGGGGGGTCCCCTTGCTTTGCCCTTTGAGATTCTTGCACTCTACCACATTGAGACCCCACTTGAAAACCCTCTGGAACTCCGCTCCACACTCTCCATTGCTTTGTACCTCACCCCCACACCCACTCTCCCCAACCACTGCACCAGTTGCTGACGGAGATGGATGGCGTGGACGGCCGGACAGGGGTATACCTCATCGCCGCCACCAACCGCCCCGACATCATCGACCCGGCCCTCCTCCGCCCCGGCCGCCTGGACAAGATGCTGTACGTGCCCCTGCCCGACGCCCCGGGGCGCGCCTCCATCCTGCGCGCCCTGACCCGCCGGACCCCGGTGGGGGGCGCCCTGGACCTCGACGCGCTGGCCGCCTCCCAGCGGCTGGAGGGCTTCTCCGGCGCCGATCTGGCGGCCGTGGTGCGGGAGGCCTGCGTCGCGGCGCTGAAGGAGGGCCTCGCAGCTGCTGGCCTGGGGGGTCTGGGTCCAAACCAGGCAGGGCCGCTGGTGACCCAAAGGCATCTGGAGGCCGCGGCCAACAGGGTGCAGCCCTCGGTCTCGCGCCGTGACCGGGCCATGTACGAGCGGCTGAGGGACAGACTGTGCAGTGCGAGGGGCCACATACTGGGCGAGGTAGGTGGGTGGGTGGGGGAGCGGGCGTGGGCTGAGTTGAGGATGGGGAGGGGGTATGTGCGGGGGAGGGATGCCTGGTGCCGAGAGGGGAGCTGGTGGTGCGGGGGAGAGATCGGGTATTGTTGGACCCCATGGTGTGCCAAGCAACCCAAGCGACAACGAGGTCTGAGTGCCCCTTCCAGAATCCTTTGAATCTTGTATCATCTCCCATCCACGCATGGACAGGACGGCAAGCCCGTGGGAGAGTCCAGACCGGAGCCCGTGGATGCAAGTCCCCAAGCATGAAGAGGCTGATAGGGTGTCCTTGAGGCCATTGAACCTAATGCACATCCACCCACCCTGATTTTGCCCCCTTCAGAACCACTTCTCGGAGATTATACACTGAAACCAGAAAAGAAAGCGATGTCGACCATCAGGCAAGGCTGGAGCTGTTGCACGAGGGCTGCCAACTTCTGCGTTCAAACCAGCAGTTGACTTGGAAAGGGCGCGCGTCAAAACCCTCGCGGTTTCTGTCAGATTTCCATCGAGAACGGTCTTCAACCACCTCCAGATCCACTAGATAGTTCGCAAAGCTTCCTAATTGTCGAATTTAATGTGTGTCCATCTCCAGAAATTAAGCATCTTGTAATCATCCCTTCCCATCTGTCGACGAGGCCGGTAACAACCCAGGTCAGCCCTCGCCGGCTCGATACCACGATGCCTTCCGTTCGCGAGTTCTCGTCTCTCAAGCCCATGATTACAAAGGTGCATGGAATGGAAAGAGAGCTTCCTATCGGAGTTGGTTGGTACGATGTGTACCAGATAGCTTGCGCTCTCCCCTGCTGCACCGTCGAAAATGCCCTCAACAACCACCGATTGCAGTACTTTGGAGTGTACAGCGCCAGCAAAGTGGTGGAGAAGGCTAGCAGTGCTAGCCCCACAGTCGTTGCAATCTCGGCGCCAGTGCTTGCTGTCCCCAGCAGAGCTCGGCCTCAGATGTTCCTGTCACTTCCCCGAGGGGAGGTAAAACTCCAACTGCAGCACGCCGCTTGAGCCCGTAAGTGGGAGTGTATAAGGGACTGCAGACCTTGCCACTCACCTGCCGTCAAGCGTCTGTTTGGCCATAACAATGCCAGCTCTTGTCACCTCCTCTTTCGTTCACTCCCGTGCACAATGATTGTCATGCAGGAAGGCCCCAACATACCTGTGAAACTAGAACAGAAACCTTCAACATGTGGATGGTCCATCCTGATAGGTTCTAGCGTTGTATGATAGCAGACTCTTCAAATTGTGATGTCCTGATGCATGAATACTTTTGACAGGTCGCCCTCGTCCTCTCACCAACAACATCTGACTTCCTTGGACACTGTACAATACGAATGTACCCTTACGTTTGTACGACATCATCGTTGTGACCCAATCTCCTCCTCTGCACCCTGTGTGATTGTAAAATCCAGGCTTCAGTATGCTTGTTGACAAGGGGTTCGTGCACTGCGGCTGTGGTCCTGCCCTGAGATACCGCGGGAGAAAATCCTCACGACACATGCGACACCATTCGATTCGACCTTGCCTGGCCCCATGGCAGGGCGGGGAAGGCATCGAAATCGCATTACTTGTACATCTTCGATATTCTCTACCGGGCGGATGACAGGCATCTTCTTGTTCTCCCTCCCACGAACAGGCGGATGCTCTCGCCATGCACAGCCCCAACACCATGCTAGGATTTTGAAACTCAACAGTAGCAGACACCATCTTGCTGCTCGTAGGAGAACTCATTATGCATCCAGCGGGACGAGGGCGTGTCGTGAGTGCATTTCCTCCGATGATCATGATCAAAAGCTGACGGCACCTTCCAAGAAGGATCTGGGCACAAGGTGAATGAGGAACCCCGTGATGAACTCGGTTTGGCCACTCGAGTGGCACGAAGGATCCATCCCTCTGCAATGATGATGAACTCGCAAGCATGCTTTGATACATTCGATGGACGACCTGCGGGTGAAAGCCCCTCAACCACGAGTTTCCCCTTGGACATATTCCCAGGTCTGCCATCTCCCTGCTCAAGGGGTACAGAGCCTTCATCTCCCCCCTCCTCCAGCCAGTGTGTCGCTTCATCCCTTCCTGCTCTGTGTACTCCATAGAAGCCTACGAGACCTACGGCGCCTCGAAGGGGACCATCCTCATGGTCTGGCGCATCCTGCGCTGCACTCCGTGGGGAGGTTCTGGCCTTGACCCGGTCCAATGGCCTCCCCCGGGTCTGGAAAGATTTTTTCGCTGAGCAGAGGTCCCCAGCCTCATACAAATCCTGTCTGGAGCTTTGTTATAGATATGGGGGCATGCTCTAATGTACACTCAGAGGCTGCGGGGCTTTTCATGATCCTGCATTGGATCCCTGCCGGGCGTCCTTGCTTTGTGGCTGGGCCTGGGAGTCGTCGTGGCCACTCACAGGCTGACGGCTGTCTTCCTCCTCAGACGCTTCATCATCATCGTCGCTGAGACCCAAGAGCTCCAGCAACCCAAACAGCGTTTCCTCTGCAGCAGCCCGCCGCTGCTCCGGTGCCATTTCTGCTAGACGGCCTCGCAGCCCTGTGTCAAGAGCGGGGCGAGGGCAGCCGAGGTATTTGGTGTGTCAGTCAGAGACAGGTGCCCTGGTCTCCAGAGTCAACAAGTAGGGGATAAGGCAGGCCTCCATATCATGCATTTGACCTGACCCCACATGCAATGCAAGTATGGGGGACCACGAGGAAGGCCCAATCTGGCCAGAACCAGATCCTCCTCCCAAGCATTACTTCCATCCCCAGGTCTCCCTGCACACCAGCTGCAGCCTCAAGGGCCTTGCCTAGCTGCACCGACGAATCAGGTTCATCCTCGTCCCAGTTGCCCGGCGCATCCCCCCTCAGCTCATCCAGGAAGGGGTTTGGACAGCTGCCCCCAAGCAAAGATGGCCCCAACGGCTCCGCCACATCATTCTCTCCGGTCGCATACATCGCCGCTCTCCCATGTTGAGGGGAGGGCTTCAGACGCAGTCCAGGCCACACGTGGGCCTGCAGCGCCTCGTGGATGCGGGTCACGCCCTCGCTGGTGAGTGACAGCGCCTCACCATCGCCGGGGAGGGGCACCGCGACCAGTTCCACCAGCTGGTCTGCGCACCAAGCCCGTGCAGCTTCCAGGCGGGGGTCCTCCTCGTCGGCGCCATAGGCTGCCAGCACTCGCACTGAGCTACCATCGATCGCTCTCGTCTCCCACCAGCGCTGCACCCTGGAGAGGCTCTCGCCAACGGCCGCATCCACCACCAGTATGCATGCATCTGGCTGGGAAGGGGTGGGATCGCTCACATCCAGGAGGCGCACGCTGATGTTGGCATCGTAATACTTTGTACTTATGGACCATGGATGAGTGCATCCAGGATGCAGCCCTTCCTGCTCCAGAACCGCGAAGGTCAGCGCGGAAGTGATCGTGGGGTCGGTGCCCACCAAGATCAGAAGCGCCTCGCTACGTGTCATCCTCGCACACAAGTTACTTGTGTGGTATGCACTCACTGCCCTGGAAGGCAGGACGGGGCACTATGTGCATTGAGTTCCATGCCATATTTATGATCCCGGAGAACGTCAGAACACCCAGGGCGCCAAGTCTGATTGCCACCGAACGCCCGATGTTGTTTGCTGCTTAACACCAAGATCGATGCTGTTGCTGCGTTGAACTTGCATTGCCAAGTTTATCCTCCCTGATCTCTTCTGGGAAGCTATGGCGGTGGAGACAGAGGCACCATCGGCACAGCCAGGCCTGGAGCACGTCCCCTTCACAAAGCTCTACAAGGATATTCCCGTGCATTTCCAAGTGTTGAGCCTCCCCAAGCAGACGCTCATCTGGGTGGCGTGTGGACCGGCGCGGTTGAGATCCCTGTCAGCAGCCACAGTGGTACCTCAGGTCGCTCCTGGGACAGGTTGGGTTTTACGGCTTTGATATTGGTGTGGAGTAAATTTCTAACAGGGGACTTATTTACAATCCAATTTTGGAAAGTTCATATGATAAAGGAAAGCAGAGGACACCCATTCAAAGCTTCTCTCTCTCCTCCGCCCCCTCATCAGACGGGACTCCCGGCTGTCACATCGCTCATCGGGTGGGCGGCCAACTCTTCAGAACAGGGCCTTGCCAGTCGTCTAGGTGAGGGGCGATGACAGGAAGAATTGATCCTTCAGATGAGAAAATGATTACCTCATAGAATGCTACTTCCCTTCTGTTTCCTTCATCGTATCTTTGGTACCCTTGGAGATTCTGAAAGTGACTCTCCCACCCCTCCCTCCCTGTCCAGCTCAAGCTTCTGGAAAAGCCGTGATGGTGTCTCTGAATCTGCCCAGCAATTCAGCTGGAATGGAGGCTTTTGTCGAGCAGGAGCTCAAGGGCCACCTGCTCAGGCAATAGTGCAGCTCTGGACACGCACGAGGTGGCGCATGTGTGCCTCCAGAAGGGCTCCTCTTGCATGTGCGGAAGCTTGGGGCCCTCGGCTTGTGTCCAAGGCTGATGACCGTTCGTCCTCGCCTTTTCATCGGACAACACAATTTTCCGGCATCCCCACTGCATGGCTGCAGCAATGCCTGGTGCAGGAGGATTTCAAACTTACTTCTCACCCATCCTTGTCCGTTCTACTCTCACAAAAATTACAAGCCGGCTGTGGGCCCGGCGTCAAAACCCCCGACAGTCCCTAGATAGTCATCGTCAAAGTCTGCGGGATGTGGGAGCGGGCGAGATGCTGCCTAAGTGATGCTTTTGAGGGCGAGGGGTCTATGGAGTGCAAGGACATGCACACCGGCATAACCATCGATTCTTGCTGCTGTCTGCGCCCCCCCCCCTCACCCTTCGGTCCCCAAACCCAGCGCCCCACCCACCCGAGAAGTGCGAGGCCAGGAGCGCGCTCTCCGCGGCGTCCTCGGGCGAGGGCGCGGGGTCCTCGTCCTCCTCTAGCAGCTTGCCCTGCTCCTCCAGCCACTCGAGGGCGTCGGGGACGTAGTGTGCGCCCACTGCGCGCATGTCGGCCGTGCCCAGCGGATCCTCCACGTCCACCTCCACATCGCGTGGGTCGGCGGCGCGGCCGTCCAGCGTGATCAGGTCCCACACCTGGCGGTGCGTCCAGGTCTTGTACTCTGGGTCCTTGATGTCCCCTGTGTACCCGCAGCGGACGTCGTGGCGCCAGCGCGAGCCCATGCCCGCGTGCTGGCCCACCCGGGCCCGGGCCGCGTTCCAGGCTGTTGGATGATGGGGACAGGGGGCGGGGATGACCGGACCATGAGTGCATGGCCCATGGTGAGCCGGGCAATGGCACACCCTGGGCGCGCAGCACAGAGCACCACGAGCGCGCTCTTCGCCCCTTGGACCTGCATTCTGCGACCTGGCAACCCCGCTGCGACCCCGCACACTCCCCTGCGGCACCTTGGTTCCTCTCGTGCCGCTGCCGCTGGCATTCCGCCATGGCACGCAGGTCCCACTCGTCCAGGTCGTCCAAGGGGGGGGCGGGGGGACCCTCCTCAGCCTGGTTGGTCCGCATCCGCTCGTGCGCGGCCAGCCGCGCCTCCTCTCGCTGCCTGAACTCGTGGGTTGAGCACCGGCTCCAGGCCTCGCTCTCCAGGGCGGCCCTGGGTCCCAGCGCGGCGGCCTGCAGGTCCTCGAAGGTGTGCAGTGTGGGGCGCTGGCGGTTCACCAGCACGCCTGCATCGTCGACGGTGGCCATCCAAGGTCGCCAGCTGGTGTACCTGTGGTGGGCAGCAGCGTGCATGAGCAGGCGCGGGGACTGGGTGCGGCTCAGCCCACAGGTAGCTGCCACCAGGCCAAGCACTGTCGTGCAACTGAGGCTTCGAAAGTGCCACGTATCACCAACTCCTTATCCTGTATGATGCCCAAATACTTGCCTGGCGGTCTCAGGATCTTCCAGGATGGTCTCCAAGGCCAGGTCTACCGCCTCACTTTCCTGTGGGTCAGCTGCAGCGGCACACAGCTGAGTAGGGCGGCCACGCCTCCCTGGAGCGGGCTCATACATACAATGCCTTGGAAAGTTTCTAGTGAAAGGTCGCCCTGCGCGAAGACCAAAGCCCCAGATGGGCTGCGGGGCAGAAGCGAAGGAGAGCGCCATCGCCCAGACGAAGGGGACAGCTTCTCATGCGGTCATACTCATAGAGATTAGAATTTTTCTTGGATCGTGATGTATGCCAGATGTATGCAGGTGCAATTCCAACGAGGTAAAGCGTGAGCGGGCTAGCCTTGTTGAGGGAAATTTTCAGATAACTCATGCTGCGCTTGGGCTCGACACGCACTGATCATCGAGTAAGCAAGAAGACGCCATGTTCCGGATTCTGTTCTCTCGGTGTACGCAGGAATCAGAAGTAGAGTGCATCAGAATGGCTACATCTCCAATGCTGCTGAGCTGCATGCCAGCGGCTCGACTCGCCCGCTCTCCAAAGGGCCCAGCGGTGCATGGATCCATGCAGCGATCGACATGGGCGACTGCCGCATACAGACGCCAAGGTGCAGTTTCGCTTCAGGCACTCTCGGATATGGAGAGAAATGACATGCTTCGTATCAGTAATGTCTGGCCCCCGTCCCACTCTGCGCCACAGACCGTTTCCCAAGCATAAGGGCAAGCAGTGTTGATGCCGACAACGAGTCTCGACTGGAGGCCTTGGAGTCCATGGCACGAGGGGGAAAGGAGCAGAAGGGCGCAGTGGAGAAGAGACCATCGGTTCGGCCCAATCTCACACAGGTGAGGTCCTGGAAGTGTTAAGGCGACGGCAATGCTTGTTGTGGCTCATTGGAGAGGCGACGAATCAATTGCAGGGCCCGCAGAGCTTGTAGGCATCATGATAGGATTGCTCAGTGCGCTGCTCCCTGTACAAATCTGTAGGCTGCAAAGGCGGACATGGGACCCTCCACCGAATGGGGCGAGCGTGATCTCTTCCCCAAGGGCTGGGACGACATGCCGCTTCCCATGAAGGTGTCCCAGCTTTGGATGGGGAAGCGAGGTCTCCTCTTCTGGAGCAACAAACTGGCATGGGCTGCCGTGATAGGCGTCGGGGTGTTGTGGGTTGTGTTTCGCTTCGTTGGTCCGGCGCTGGGCTTGTACCAGCTACAAAGCGACCTGTCTACTCCAAACCTGCTCTGAACAGTTTATGTGATGCCTTGAACAGATTTATTTGGTGTATGGTCTTGTGACTGATGACACATGTTGTTGAGTTTGTGCTCATTATGAGCGCGCGGACTCTCGTGACGATTGCACAGATCCGACGAATTTGCATCTCCTCGATGTCGTCCTCGGCGCTATCTGCCACTCCATCCGCCAAGCTAATCCTCCCTCTCCGCCCTTTCTGAGCTGTGCTCTCAAGACGATGGGTGCGGCAGGCGTGCCCAGTTCAAAGGGTCCGGGAAGGACTCGGCCCCGACAGCACCAGAAACCGGCTGCTGACTTGCGCCTGCCAGCCATCTCTCACGAGTGCGCACCGTGCCATGTGTCAATTGCATGTTCGAGCACGGCGAGATCTTGCCAGCGCATCTGGCCCGCAGCCCACTCTCATCCCTTGGTCAACCTGCAGGGATGCCGAATATGGTGAGGTCGCCGGCGATCCGACATCACGAGTCTCCCCCTCCATCGAGCAGACCTGGTGCACCTATATAGAGCCCAAGTCCCTGCAAGCCTGGTACGCAGCCTTCAGGCTGGTCGCTGAGCAGCAAGCGGCGCTGCTCAAGGGGTCACCCCTCCTCTCGGGAGCTCTCCCAGATCTCGATGACCTGGTGCGTGATCCTCGTGGGGCTGGGTTCGCATTCTGATGATAAGGGAATTTGAAATCTCTTGTACTCCTGCTTGAAGACGTGCTTGTTCAGGCATTGCGCACACATCCCTACACCTCACCTTCTCAGGCCTCCTGGGTGACGAGCGAAACGTCATTCAGTGTATACTCCCTGGGGACCTCCCCTGGGCGCCTTCTGGTGTGTGATGCTGAGAAGAACATATATGGCAGCCATTACCACATCAGGGAGCCTGAGTCGAGCACCATCAAGCTGACAGCGGCAGAGTTTGTGCAGTGCGCGCGGAAATGGAAGAGCAAGCTCTTGGTCCTGGAGGTGAGCCTCGTCCACTGGGATGATTGTGGCGCCTGGCTGACCAAGGCGCTGCTGCTGCTGGCATGATGGAAACAGCAGCATGCGCAGTGGCTTAGATGCTGCTTGAGAGACCTATGAACGACCTCAATATCCTGGCGGGAGGGATGCCCGTGAGCCAACCCTATGGCCCTCATCCTGCCATGCAGGCGCTATACCCACTGGCAAGCATCAAGCCTTCCACAGAGAGAACCAGTCTCCGAAGAAACCTCCCAAGTGGTCTACAAACCTTGGTAGACTGGGACTGGCTAGAGGCGTGGCTTGCAGCGCAAGAGTTTGGGCCGCTGTCTTCGTTGCGCCTCATGGCTGGTGTGCGGGGCACCCTCCTGCCGGCAAGCTATGCTGTACGTGACAGGATACTCACCCAGGCGAGTAACAGACAGGAATGGCGATATCGTGAGGATCGTTTCAGTACGGGAATCGGTGTGCCATCTGCGAGTCCATTTCTCTAGAGTCCCGCCGTCTGTGCACAGAACTGCAAGAACACTTGGCCTGCTGTCTTCTTGTGAGGGATTCTGGTCCACTCTCACTTTTCCATATGCCAGCATTCAACTATCTCACCGCCTTCTTCCCTTGGCCCTGTCCCCTGCAGCTGACTGGGAGATCCAGGGTGTTCCTTTTCCCTCCATCCATGGCTTTTCAGGGCCTGTATCCCTACCCCGTCCACCATGGCTATGACAAGTACTCCATGGTGAATCTGGAGGAACCCGACGTGGCCGAGTGGCCCCTGGCCACGCGGCTGAAGGCAGTGAAGGCTGTATTGCACCCAGGCGATGCACTATTCATCCCAAACTACTGGTGAGACGGGGCGATGTGTGGCCATGCAGGACTGGGGACCTGGGGGCTTTGCTGGACGCGACTGGACGCAAGGTGCGAGGCATGCCATAACTTGCAGTGGGAGAACGCTGCGACTGGAGTTCCGCCGTGTTCCCAGTAGGGTCGGTCGATACAATCCCTCCAGGTTTGCACATGTCGAGATGCTAGCTCCAGAGGACCTGATGCTGACACTTGAGCTAGGACAGGGCGCTCGTGGGCTCACTCCTGGTGCAGCGGCGGTTCACCTGTCACGTGCACTGGAGGAGAGAATCTGTGAGGCCGAGTCCCCAAAGGTGAGTGGCGGGCAGGGAGTGGTGGGCAGGACCTGGAGCGGATTTCCCAGAGAGTGTCAACTGTCTTCTTCACAGTTTTTCAATCAACTAGATCTATCCACCTCTCTGACCATGTATCAACCCTGCTGTGCATCCCAGGCCGTGAGGGAGTGGCTCCTGCGCATCGCCGCGGGGATGGAGATTGAAGGTGTGGACCTGGCTACGGTGAAAGGATACAAGCGGATCGTGCTGTGCCAGGGGGTGCGCGATGATGTCGAGGCTGTCCTCGGCCAGGGTGCCTGGTCGACGTTCCTGCCCTCCATGTGCGAGGGCCGCCTGCAACCTACGCCTTGGCTGAACAAGGTAAGAGATTTAAATCAGATATGGTGCCTGGCGACCGCCCACTGCCACTGTCCTGCGTGTAGAGGGAGAGTTGATTCCCTATTTGGCCGTACAGCATCGACCTGATGCCGGGCCAGAAGATGTGCCCTTCCTTCAAATACTCCTACTTCTCGCTGTCCTCCCCTGACTCCTCCAGAACTTTCGGGAGCCGCTCTATCTTACGGATGTCCCAGTCAGGCTCGAGGATGACCGCACCGAGGAAGAGAAAAAGTATCCTGAGCTCTTCAGGCACCGCCTCAGAGGTGACCATGGGCCAACTATATTCTGTGTATACCAGTGTAGACTGCGTTGATTGTTCATTGATCGTGAGTTTGATTTAAGAAGTTCCCTCTACTCTTCATTTGTAGCTGGAGGCTGGACGGTTCCCGAGAACAAGTGCACCATCCCAATTCCTGGATATAACGTTCCAGCATCATACCAGCCTCAGAGTCAGCAAGCTTGACAGGAGTGGTGTCAACAAATGCCCTCCCCACCGCCCCAACTGTAAGCAGACTTGGCACCCCTCCTCTTGTCGAAATGTTTAATGAGTTCAAGATCCAGGCTGTAGCACCATGAGAAGGGGTGGAGATCTTCTCCGAGGCACATGGAATGGGGTCACATCTCTCAAACATAAAAGTCTTGTCGGGAGCTCCCGCCTCCCACCTCCTTCAGCTTCTTTGAGATGCTCGTAAAGTAATCCTGTACGGACAAATTGTGTCATGAGAGTGCTGAGTCACCACTATCCCTCCCCAGCCTCTAGAGTGTCACTTCTGAGATCTGATCCACTCCTCGCATGCCTTCAGACAGCCAGACATCGCACCTCTCCATGTGCACCACGACCCAATTCACCCTTTCAACCACACACCGTTCTCCAAAATTCCTTCCTACCTTGAGGTAGGCCTCCACGGTGGTCACTGACCCGGGCTCCACCCCGAGCAGGCGATAGGTATCGTGCATGGGGGCCGAGAAGTTCTCATTCCCGGCCAGGACCTCTGCAAAGGCCAGGCGATCTGCCGCGTCCCCTGCCCACTGCAGCGAGCGCAGGATGGACCGCGTGCCCTTCAGCAGCCAGACAGGGATGTTGCGCGTCTTGGCGTCCGTGTCGGCCAGTCGCTCGCAGATCCCGATGATCTCCTGGGTGGTGTACGCCTGCGGGCCCGCGATGTCCAGTGTCTTGTTCACCGCCTCTGGCGTCCTGCATGCGATGGTTTGGGGGAGACGATGATTTGAGGCGGGATGAAGAAGGCGGCAAGAATGACGATTCACAGAAGGGGACATTCTTCTGGAGAGTGATACTGGGAGGATGAGACATTGCCAGCTGCCAATAGTGGAACATCAAAGGGAAGTGCCCCTGTCGACGATGCCCTTGCCAAACAGCAGGGAATCCTTCAGATCAATACCCAGCCCGACACCATTCCAGACCTCAAAGATGCCAGGACCAGGCGGGCAATGTCCTGGGTGTCCATGTAGGCTGTGCGCGTGTCGTCCTTGGTCCCCCACACCGCGCGATCCTCCAGCACCGGGATGGCGTAGCTGGCGACCAGCGCCTGCATGAAGCCACACAGGCGCAGGATGGTGTAGTCCACCCCGCTTTGCTGCAGAAACTTCTCCGTGGCGTTCTTGATGTTCATGAGGGGGACTTCCGGGTGGCGGTCGCAGTGGACGATGGAGCAGAAGACATACCTGTGCGGCGACGAGCCCGACATGGATGAGGGTGGCGCAAGGAGTGCAAAGATCCCAAGGATACCATGTTGCTAGTGATAAAGCTGGCGCAGTGCTGACAAGAAGAACACAGGCCGCTTGCTGTGTCTTCGAGGCTCAAGCTGTCCATGCAATCATTCTCTGAAGTGCAAAGAGCACAACAACCCCTCTGCACACTCCCACCTTTGGATGGACATGGCTTGTGCGCACTGGATGAGGGCAACCTTGCTTTCCCAGTCGATCGCCATGGTCGACTCCTCCGGGCGGGCAGTTGCGCAGTCAATCACAGAATGGATCCCAACCAGAGCAGCTGGGAGAGAGGTAGGGTCCGTAAGATCCGCCTGCATGCGCGGCATGGGCATTAAAGCATTACCGTAGGGAGCAACACCATGGGCAATGGTGCATGCAGGGCGTGTACCCACGCCACACTCCACCCCCACCATCTAAGAAATTGTGCCAGGACTGCCCATCCATTCAGCCTACCTGGACGGTGGTCGCGCCCCAGTCTCGCAGGAAGTCGGCGGGCGTCTGGCGTGGCCTGACAGTGCACCGCACCTCATACCCCTCGTCCAGTGCCTGACGGACCACCTGCCTGCCTAGTGTGCCGGTGCCACCCACCACCAGCAGGGTGTTTTTTCCGACTGTCGAGCCACTGGACGCAGCGCACAAGACTGGGCGAGGGTATGACCGGGAAAGCGGGCCTGGGGCAAGGGCGTGGAGGGCTGAGCTCGGTGAGAGGTCCCGCCGAAAACGATGAATCGATCACGTCCCTCCTCATGCGACCGGGTACTGCCCTTCACGATACTGGTAATGGCATTCAGGGCATATGAAGAAGTCACGCACCTGTCCTCGTTACGCGCGGGCAGCCGTGCAAAGTGCTGGCATGGGGCATCGTGCCAATCCCTGCATGACCAGAGAATTGAGTCTGCATGGAGACCAGCGCTGGCGGTTGCGACCCCCGAGGGCTTTCTATAGCAAAAATGTTCGCTTCACTCAGGAACACGGCTTACAATCGCTGTCTCAATGTCCCTCGGTGCTGGGATGAGGCCGACTTGCAACTTGTGTGGTGGGTGCAAATTCGGCGAGTCGCGCGCGCATGAATTTCATCTCCTCAACACCCACGTGCCCGTGGCCCCATACTCTGCAAGAACAGAGACGGCCCGATGTCGGTGATGGCTGGTTGAATCGATAAACCAAAGGGCGGTGTAAATATTGGATAGCCTTCATGCATCTCGTTAGGCTGTCGCGGCAGCTGTGTGTCCTCGCAAGCCTCTCCCTCCTTGTGGTCTGTCACTGTTCTATTGACTACGATCTGCATGACGACGCCAGGTTTATTGTTTCTGTCGCAGCTGACGTCCCCGGTGAGATTAGGATAATGCGAGGTGATGGTAGCGAGGGGGTGGGCCGGGTATCTTGCGTCTCTGCTCGTGGATACGTTATTCTTCAACCCATCATTATGCGTTCCCTGTCCCAGATGAAAGCACACAAGCTTGTGAAGCAGATGAACGAAGTCAACAGATGAAAGACAACCTGGGAAATTCATATCTATGTTGTTACCCTCCAGTTCTGCCAGTCAATACGTCGGTGAGATGCTGCCATTGCACAAAGTCTCCAGAGGATACATGCTGCACTCCGAAATGCTCACTCCCTGCAATGGTATGGCAACCCTATCCTTGACATCTCGCAGGAAGCTGATGCCAAAACGCCACCGCAAGTCGAAGCCTCCGCGGCGGAACTTCTTGCACCCCTTGGTAAGCTGCAGAGATGGCAATGGTATCGCCTCATGACCGACTCGGATGTTCAGGGTGGTGCTTGTGCCCTAAGCACTGACCTGCTTATGGGCTCCACTCGATGCTGCAGTGGGTTGGTGTACGGTACTGACGGAGGACTGGTGGACCTACGAGGTGTGCTATGAGAAGGAGGTGCAGCAGTACCATGCTGAGGACGGCAAGGTCTTGACGGCGTATCACCTGGGCTACTATCAACCGGACGATGAGGCATCAGTGGTAGGTCTTGGACTATAGTAATGGGAGGTGGCGTTGAGCATGTCAAGAGCTGACCTTGCTCATCCTTGCTGAAAGCTCCCACATTGTTGCAAGCCACTCCTGCAGGAGACGCTGACATTGCATGGTAAGGGCACCAAGTTCCTCGCACAGCAGTACGTCAATGGCTCGGACTGCGAGCTTGCCCCAAAGCAGCGCAGTACAGAGGTGGGACTTTTGAGCGATTGTGTTGATGCTCGGAGCAGAGACCCATGCCTCACAGCTTGAGGCATGGTCTCAGGCGCCCTGCCTGGTTCTCGGCACGCACACACACGCTCGGACCCCTCAGTCAAACACCACCAACCCACACAGGTTCGATACACTTGCGGCCAAGATGACAAGAGCATCATCCAGTCTGTACGGGAAGTAGAAAGCTGTTCGTACGTCGTCACCATTTTGACACCGCTCCTGTGCGCTCATGACGACTTTGTCAGCGTCGAGCCTCCTCCTCAGGAGATCCACTGCCGGCAATTGCCTGACTCTGCTCCATCCCCAGACGCGCATGTCGACCTATGATGTGGTTCTGAGGGACCTTCAGTGCCAGCCGGCTGGATAGGGGGGCCCCTTGGTAGGGCGCCGAGACGGGGCGAGACAGGGCGCAGCACGCGCAGCATTTCCCCACACCTCCGGCAACTATGTCGCCGAGGTGCACAAAGAGTCACGAAGATGAAATTTTGAGCTGGAGTCTTGGCATACCAAGAGATAACAGCGCATGCAAATATAAGTCATCCGCCGGCACCCTTCCTTGGGCACACACGACGAGATGTCGGGCGCAGGCGTGCCCGGACTCAACCGAGAGCAGGTTGAGAAGGCCGCCAAGGCTCTTTTAACGTACGCGCAGAAGAAGGGACAGGAGAGCAGTAACCTGCTCCTGGACGACGAGCTCATCTACCTGGTGAGGATGGATTGGCAGCGGACCAATGCGTACAATTTGCAAGCCGCACCTGGAGACGGAGGGCTGGAGGTGGCGCACAGGGTCAAAGTGCTCTCTATTCCACTTCGCAGAATATTGCACTGAAGAAGGTCCCCCAGACGCCACGGAAGGACAAGCCTGTACGGCTAAACATTCCGCACCCCATCTATTGCCTGGAGGGGGCAGAGGTGTGCCTCTTTGTCAAGGACAGCAAAGGCAAGAGGGGGACTTTGGGGGGCGCTCCTCTTTACATAGGAGCTTAAAGTAGCCAGATTTCAATATTTGCATTCGAATGAATGCTGGAGATGGTCTCTGATGGCTTACACCTGCGAATTTCCTCCAGGTGAGGGCCACAAGGCCAGCAAGAAGAAGGTGAAGGAGGAGCAGATTGCCGGAGTTACAAAGGTGGTGGGCCTATCCAAACTTAGGTACGGGACTTCAGGCATACGTGAAGGATTTGGCGGTGGGAGGTTGCTCTGGAAACAACAACCAAAGGGCACCTACCATCCTGACCTCTCCAGGACAAAGTACGAGAGCCATGAGGCGAAACGGAAACTCTGCAATTCTTACGACCTGTTTCTGGCTGATGAGCGAGTGCTAGGATCTCTACCAAAGCTCATAGGTGAGTGGCTGGATGCCCTGCGCGCTCGACGCCAGGCATTGGCATTTGCTCTGCCAGGCATGAGCTGACCTTCCTCGTACTGTTGCTGCAGGCAAATCCTTTTTCAAGAAGAAGAAGCAGCCCGTGCCAGTCAAGTTGGTGGGAAAGGACTGGTCTGGACACATTAGCAAAGCTGTGAAGGCCACATACTTTTTCTGGACGGGTGCGGTGGGATGTGTGTAGGATACTGTGCTTGGGCTTGCGTGAGGGCAATGGATGGATTGATGGGCGACTGTCGGTTTCAAACCATCTGGAGTCTTGTGGATGTGGAATTCAGGCTTCATCTGTGCATTGGAACATATGCAGGTGGCCCCAGCCTCTCAATCCGGGTTTCTCGGTCCTCCCACACCCAAGATGAGGTACAGAGTAGGACTGGCAAGGTTTGCGGTCTGCTTGATCTGCGGATACTATCTTTTGTGCGTTCCTCCCACACCCTGTGCTGTTTGGTCTCGGGCAACCACCGATTCCGACCACCCTCACTCCTTGCAGGTCGTGGAGAACGTCATTGCTGCCCTCAAAGATGCCCTGCCCCACATTCCCAAGCAGTGGAATGGCGTCAAGGTGGGTGGGAGCGCTGGCAGGGGAAAGTTGCTTTCGTACCGGTGGGGGGGGGGGGGGGGGGGGGTAAGAGGTTGTTTGCTCCTGCGCTTCTGTTTTGTTATAGGAAGAATGCCAGGTCCCCTGGAGCGTTCCCACTCAGCATGCGCTCTGCACAATCCTCAATCCTCGACACAGGCGCTGTACATGAAGACAGCAGACTCAGTGGCTCTGCCCATCTATCAAGCCTCCCCGGTTCCCGATGTAGTGCGCATCAAGGCCTGAGGCTCTCTTTTGCTCCGGCTTTCATGCTACCTCTTGTCGTACTGCTGACATATGTCCTGGGAATGACTGCGTCATGGCCAAATTGCCATCTGCAACCGTGCCCTCCATCCCTTTGTGGAAGCTGTCATGATGGTACAGAGCAGCTGAGGGGGCACAGACACACTAGAATCGTCGGATGTCCTTGGGAGGCTTAAAGTTTACGGGATGCGACTCTGGAGTGGCCGTGAAATCCTCCTTCCACATCTTCACGGTCTTGTCAGCCTCGCATGTCACCAGGCGAGAACCAGTCTTGTCAAATGCCATGGCATAAATGCCTGCAAGGGGGAAATGTGCGGGACAGATGCAATCGTTGGAGCTTACGTTAGGGTAGCAGGCAACACCTCACCTAGGAACGAACTGTCCGATCACATGCACACCCGCAATCAGATCTAAGAGAATGTCCATTAGCTCCCAACCCCAACACTGCCCACCCACCTTGTTCACTCTCCAAGGATCCCGGTTGGGCCACTGTCTCCTGCTGCTGAAAGGCGTTGCCAGACTTCCAGTCCCAGAACCAAATTGAGCCGTTGTCTGCACCAGACACAAGCACCCCGTCCTCGTTCACCGCCAGGCAATTGATGATTGCCTGCACGTGTGCAGGGCGTCGGGTGGTGGGGTTGTCATACAGAGGTGACGGAAGACATGGCAATGCTGGGTGGGACCTTGTGTCTCACAACCACCAAACTTCTCCCACTGCAGGTGCAACACCTCACCCGCTGCTGTTGGAGGGTGTTGTGCAGGAACTCTCCCCGTGGCAGCTTGAACTTCTTGATGTTGTCGGCCCCACCCGATGCAAATGTGTGCTCGGTTGGGTGGGCAGTCAGACCACGCACGGCCTGTAAAATTTGGCAAGTGCACATTTCACGAAGAAGGTCGATGCCATAGGTTGTGCCTAACCATGCATCACTGCAAGGAAGAAGCACAGAAGTGATCCCTCCTCAGAATGTAAAGCCCAGCTTAGCGCTGCGAACCTTTTTATGGTAGGTCAGGGTCGATAGCGTCTTGCCGGTTCGCAGATCCCACAACCGGATGGTCTTATCGTGGGAAGCGGTGATGACCTGAGATAGGAGTGAAGATGCAGCCCATGAGGGGGCATGCAGGGTTTCCTGGGTATGACAATCTCCCACGTGAGAATATGTCTGGCAGGCCAAGGACCCCCTTCCCACTCACCTGGGGGTCCGTGGGCTGGCCGAGGATGGCAGAAACAGTGTCTTCGTGGCCCGACAGGCAGTGGATCTGGACCTTGCTCCGAATGTCCCACACCCGGCAAACTGTGGGCAAGGAGCAAAACGGCCAAGAATTTGGATGCACGTCAATGCAGTCGAGATCCATGGTGCAATCGAAGTAACAGCAAGGTCCTCAATCCCCAATCCTGCCCTCAACGATACCTGCATCGCGGCCGCCCGTCATCAGTATATCTAACGTGGGATGTTGGGCCAAGCTATAGACGCCTGAAAGATGCCCATGGTAATTCCGAATGACCTAAATACCAGGACATGAGGCAATGGAAGATGAGATCTTAAATTCGAGGATAAGGCGCCCTGTGAGGAATGGTTGTGCAAGGCCACTCCCCACCCCTGCGGCCCCACTCTACACCCTCTGGGTGCATCCAACCTCAGTGTCATTCATTCAACGGCCTTACTGTCACCCAGCCCTGCGAGCCCCCATACCTTGTTCTGCTCCAGGTCCCAGCATTTGACTTGCTTGTCAAGAGCACAGGAGAACATGTAGGGGTGGCGCTCAGATACAGCCAAGCCAGTCACCTGTCATTGGGCAATGACAAAAGAGGGCCATCAACATGTCTTGACCGTGCCATATGGGCGCACCGGACACTGATGAGAAGCACAACAAACTCCCCCAGGCATAATCATCCTGGCTGATGGGAATTTCATCTTCACCACCACGCAGGCAGAGGAGGACCTACCTGCTCTATATGGCCAGTAAGAGTGAGCCGCAAGTGTCCAGAGGCTGTGTCCCAGATTTTGATGGTTCGGTCGCCAGAGCCCGTGCAGAACCATTCATTTCCTGGCTCAAACGCGACAGAGCGCACCCAGCTGCACGTTCAGCAGTAAGGCAATTACTCTCGAGCCGGGTCTCATCAGCCTATCTTACTCAGAGCCAGACATCGAGATCCATACAAACCACAGCCTTGATTGCCCACCGAGCTCACCCAAGGTGCCCCGAGATGACACGGTACATTTTCCAGGGAGCATGCCATTCTGGCCGTGGCCACTTGTTGGGGATTCGCCGGGCAATGACAGAGCTGGGAACATACTCCTTCTGTGGATGAGTGGGCGTCTCTTTGCATTGCTGAGACATTATCGGTGATAGAAGCTTCAAACACATCTGACTGATACGATCCAGCACAGCAATGCGACAGGACACTCAAGATTGCAGTTTCATGTGCAGGAAGCATTTGCCATGCTGCACCTCTGGGTGCTTACCCTTACCTGGCCTCCTGTCGCAGTGGGTACCATGATAGTGGTGCTGAGTGCCGCCTGGGCAGCAGGAGTGATGCTTGCCGTGGAACCGTGGACCACCAGCTGCTTGTCTCGACTGCCTGATGCAGCCCCTTTCCTGTAGCGCGGGAGAAACATGAGGAGAACGTGTGTGTAGGCCTCCACCTACTTGACCATCGCAAACTCTGGTAGAATTTGGAGCACTGACATCAGCTGGGAAAACCCGTGGCAACTCACTCTTGAGCCTGCACCGAATCGATCAGCGTGGAGTTGATGGTCTTGGGTGCCGAGCCTGTCGCCTTGGGTTCCCCTGGGACAGCTCGGGCTTTGTACTTGCTCAAGCTCGCATACTCATCGGATATCTGCAGGAGGAATATACAATCGCACGGGACTGGCATTTGTTCTGCATGTTAAGGTACAGAGGTGACAGGAACTCTGCCATCCCTCACAGAGTGGCCTGCCACGAGCAATGCTGGGCCACCAATGCATGCATCCATCCCCTCTTTCACACTGACCTTGCAGGAAATTTTTACTTTCTGCGAAGCTTCATCGAGGGGGATGCTTTCCCAGTGTGAACTATGGAATAGGTCATACGTCCGCTTCAGGGATAGCAGGGCGAGCGCTTTGAGCGACCTCTTCTCAATAGGGAATTCCTCCACGACCAGTGCTGCACCTGCGCCAGCACCATCGGCTGCCATGGGCAGCTTGATGCTCTCAACAATGTCAGATGCGAGATGATCAGCAAACTTCCCGGCAGATGTTCCACGGTGAGCAGGTGCTGTGGATGCCGGACACAGAACAAACAAGGCGCAGAGTCAGAGCTCCCTTGGTGCGAAATATGCTCGATTTCTGTCCTTTAAACCTGTTCAAGTCTCCATGAGAGTCAAAACGGCTGTCGGACGCTGGTGCTTCAGCCGAGAGTGGTGCGCGGGAAGGCTCGAACTTGGGCGCGAGGTGGCAGCGTCACGGACCGATGGGAAGGCCAGTAAGTATAGCTTGGTTGGAGGAGATCAGTTGGAATTCAGACATCGAACCATTGCCAATAATTGTTGTCTGACGCCCCTAGCTGTGGTGACAAAGAGCCACCCTCCAGTTTGGAGCACTTCCTCCGCGCAGACGGTCCAACCCCACCACTCTTGCTGCAACACAGCCACCTCCTCCAAATAAATATAAGAGGAGCAAGAGCGATGGCAGCTGTCGATCCGCGCCTCGATCTCATCAGCAAATCAATTAGGGTCGTACCCGACTTCCCTAAGGCTGGCATTCAATTCCAGGATGTGACTACCATCCTCTTGAATCCCGAAGCCTTCCAAGCGACCACAGACCTGCTTGTGGAACATTACAGAGATCAGCATATCGATGTTGTCGCAGGTAGGCACCGGCAGTCAGGGCAGCGTCGCATGCCACCCTTGCATGCTGCATCGCCATGTGGCCCTTCTGCTGCTGTGTACTGCATGGTTCCCCACAGCTCATTAGAAGTGTGCCTCAACATAGTGTATCGCAATACAATACTGCACAAAGAATCTGAGAGTACATCACTGCAGGATTTGAGGCCCGAGGTCTGATCTTTGGAGCCCCGCTGGCCTTGGCTCTGAAGGTCCCCTTTGTCCCTCTGCGGAAACCCGGCAAGCTCCCAGGCACGCGCAATCACGCCCTGCATGCATGCACTGCAATTGCGCAGCTCTCATGTGTTGTGATGCTATCAATCGCAAACCAATCCCTTCTTCTCCAGGTGCCACCGTGTCTGTGGAGTACAAAACCGAGTACTCTGTCGACAAGATCGAGATGCACATTGGTGCTGTCAAGGAGGGCCAGCGTGTACTCCTGGTGGATGACCTCATCGCCACCGGTGGAACCCTTGGTGAGGTTGTCTTGCGTGGGAAGAGTGTGGGAGTTGCAAGCGTGGCTTGTGATGGTGCAGTAAAAACGTTAATAGTAGTTGACAAATGTCAAAGGCTCAGCTGTCCCCATGGCCCTTGTCCAGTTGCTGGGGCCGAGCTGGTGAGGAAGGTGGGTGCAATTCCAGTCGAAGCTGCATGCGTCATCGAGCTGCCGGAGCTGGAGGGCCGGAGTAAGTTGGATGGACTGCCCTTGTTTGTTCTTGTTGAGAAGGCTGGCATCTGAGGTAGTTTACATGAAGTAGATGGAGCTTGATGTAAGTGTGTCAGGCATCCTATTTTAGAAAGGGGAGATTGAATGGTTGAGTGGCTGATCTTGGTGTGTGGGGCCGTTGGGCTGGACGATCCAGTGCGACCTCCAAAGGGACCCCTCTCACACCAGGGCAAAGCATGAATCCGAGGAAGATCACAACACTGCGCACGGCTGGCCTTCCCCATTGTGCCACTTGTTGCGGAGACTAAGGATCTCGGGTGGAGGCCGGGTATCAAACGCTCGTGCGACCGTCCGGCAATCTGTTGCAAACGGGCACTTTACAAAAGGCATCTGCCGGCACTGCTGATCGGCAGCAGATTCCACAGGTGAATAGACAGTATAATTGCTCAAGAGATTCACCCGTCGATTCGCGACACGGAAGGCGCAGCAGCAGGTCTACCCGTGTATTGGTGACAGTCGCTGCTGCAGAGCCTCATCGCTTACGCGTGAATGGTGTCTTCAGTAGGAGAACGAGCATCCACTTCCAGTGAGGCTACAGAGACAGACGATGAGAATACATCGCAAGGTCTCAAGCAGCGTAAGCGGCATGGAGGCGTGCCTGCCGCCGAGCAGCAGGAGCCAACTCATGCCACACTGCACCATAGGCCAACCACGAGGGCCCGAGCTCGTCGAGGAGCGATCACGCTCAAGTATCTGATAGACAAGGGGGTGCTGGAACCCGGCAAGGACGTCCTCTCACTTGTGCGGGAGAGTGTGTTGGGTGCAGCTAGGCAACATGTCCATGGTGTTGCATGTCTCTTGTGTGGGACACTATCTGAGGACACCCTGGTCTTGCTATTCTCAGGATTACAAGGACCTGCGGCAACTCGCCAGTCTAGAAAGCGATGGGCGAATCCATGCTACAGTTGGGGGCAGTACCTTCGTCTTTGAGGTGAGGGATGCCGCCTTCACACCTTCACACCAGGCCGACGGTGGTGGTGATACTTAAAATGGCATACAAAAGCCCACCAGCCTCCGTCCCTTCGTTCCCAACAGTCCCCATCGGGCTTTTCGATCTTCATCAAGAGGCTCGTCGTGCCCACCAGGAAGGCCGATGATGGCTGGAAATCTGTTCGGTATGGAGCACAGTGAGTTGGGGTTAGGGGAGGGCGCTGAGAGGATAGATGGTTCCTGAGCCCAGGGCATTACGAGACTTCCTAATTTGAGGCATTCGCTCCAATACCAGTTACCTGGAGCATTACAAAATCCAGTTGCTCGGATTTACAGGCGCAGCACTCGAACAGTCATCAAGTGCAGGTCCTGCAGGTAAGGTGGACTATTGATATATCGACCCAGTCGCGCGTACCTCACTCTTCAGCCTTCACTGTAGGGCATTGGATTGTCTTAATAGCACCGTCAATTCACTGTCTGATACAGATCACGAATCTCTGAGCAAAGAAACGATTTCAGAAGCATCCCTGCCGCCCCCTGATGCCCATGTGGAGAATACGGAGCATGACACCTGAGGCAACGGTGGTGACGGCTTGCATCGATTCATATACAGCACTCATGCTCTACATGCTTGGACCATCACCATACATGCTGCGAGGTCCCAGGTGCCGAGGCTGGATCTCACACCCATCCTTCAGCAATACCACCTGAAGTAGCTAATCCCGCACAAAAGTCAGCATCATCGTTGCCGCTCTAACTTCTCCATACCCACTGCTTGTGCGTATTACACTACCGACCTTTGCCAACGTATGGACGAACAGCGACCATCCATGGGGAGATCAGTGGCTTCAGTTCTCTCTCATCCTTACGATGCGGCCACTCGTACCAACAAGAAAAGTTCTGGAGTTGGTACTTTGGCAGATGAACCTTCTCATGGTATGTCAGCCAGAGTGCTCAACTTTAAGCTCCAGTAGTCGTAGAGCATTTTTGTCACAGACGGTAATCAGGAAATGACCGCTCCCCGAGTACATTACCGAGATATTTGGCCTCATTCAAGGTCTGGTTAGCGAGCGATGGAGGACCATAACCAATTTCACAAAATGAAGGTGTCCTCGCAATCTATGACCATTGCGAGATCTTTCCAACTCTGCTGTCAGGGCAATCATACTCTGCGCGGAATCAACCAAACAGGACGTCTGCGAATGTTGCGAGGCTTGCTCAGATCAGGCTCGCTGCACATAAGTCTGCACAACAACAGACCCAAGGGTTCTTCGAGGTCATGCATGTGTGATTATAGTGACCGAGTCAGATTGGCTTGGTCCCCTTTTTAGCCGGTATGCAGAGTTTAATATTGTGGGGAGGGCTTATCAGAGGTGCCCAAGAGTGGTTTTCGCAGATGTCTATACTTACCCATTCTACCAGTGTGTCACCATTTCGGCGTCTACATCAGATACTTACCCGGACAAGACTTTGAAGGAGTTCTGTGTCGCACGAATTGAAGGCCCGCAGATCTTTCTCTGTACACCTTGAATCGTCTCGACGACGATGAGGGCGAATGTGGTCCCAGTCTAGGTATTCTGATCGGAAATCTAATGGCACTCATGCCGAGGGGTATGACATTTACGTGCGATCCTGTGGACCTTGCTTGTGTCAACATGTAGATCTGGTGTGTGCCCTTGACTCATTGTACCGCATAACCTGAGAACTGAAGCAGTCTAATAGGAAATTAGGAAGGATACCTTGAATCTGACTCGAATACGCGCCTGCAAAGGGGAGCTACTACAAAACTTGCAATCTGTAGCACAGCAGGTATGGAGCACCTGAGGGAGCCGAGGGTATGCTTCCAAAAGCGATAATAAAGGCTGATCAGAGGAAAGAAAGCACAGGACCCACCTCGCATATGGATTGGCGTAGGCAATTGGTCTTGCTCCCTAAGACGCCACTCGCCCCTTGAGCCGGTATCAAAGCTGCCATAACTTGCCTTGCCTGCTTCACCGGCCCCTGGAAGTTCTGGGGCCGACTGATGGACCTCAGCTTACATTCATAAGCAGCCGCGAGCGTGCGAAATTAGGAGCGCAATATCCCCTGCGCAAGGTAGCATGCTGGCATGCTCCGAGTAGTCCCCTCATTAAACTCGTGTAAATATACTTTCATTCTGTACAGCTCTGAGGAAGTTGAGAAAAATGACCGGAGGGAGTGCCTGACAGCGAATGAGGACATCAGAAAATCATTGACTAGATACTCTGCAACATTGAAAATTATGTATACTCTGCAAGTCTTTCTCAACTTACTCCTGCTTGTGCTGATAGCGTATCGCTATTTTGATATGCGCTGAGAAAAGAGGGAATCCTTTTGCGACTGAAAGAGACAGGGAGAAAAGACTGAATAAATGGAGCACGGCGTCCACGCGTTAGAGCAGCCCACTTGCACGTTGCCCTAAATCCACCGCTGCAAACTAAAAAAATCCTAATACAAAATTCCCAATGCCGATATTGCAATCCACGACGTAGATCATATAGCAATGTTCTCTGTCCTGTGTTTTCTCCCTGTATCTGCGAATATTAAGGGTAGTGAACCATTTCAATGCCCTGTGATGTGGTAAGGGGGGGGCATTTTTAACATTGAGATGCAATTTATCAATGCCCTCACCCAATGTTACGGTATGCTCGCACCGGCTCCATAAAAGCACCAAAAGGAGTGCAAGATTGAGTTCTCTGAGGAATGACGATCAAACTCTGGGCGGCCCATCTGTGAACGATGATTATCCGAAGGTGCACACCATCCATGTATCCGTTAGCAGTACTCGAGCAAGTGTTTACAATTTCTGGTTACATATAGCTACTGAAAGAGACACTGCCTTTATGGGTACGTCCTTAGATCGTGCAGTCATGGGAATGGTTGAGCAGTATTCAAATTTTAGAAGCACATGGATATGGGGCGGCGGTAACGACGTAGAGCAACGAAAAAGTGCATAGGAAGCGCACCAGTTTATATCAAGCGGCTAAACATCTTACAATGTTGAGAGCCGCTGACAGTCAGTTGGATATTGCAGGGTCCACTACCACTCGGCGTAATCGCCACTCGCATTGCATTTTGTCGCAAAAAGGTAGTCTTCTCCTTGTAAACGCAGGTAGGATTGGAATCACAGAAGTTGTGGAATGCCTGAGAGGCATGTGTACCTGCCTTGTAAGAGGCTTTAAGCGCTGGCCTCTGCTCGCATGACAAATCTGTTGCCCTTTGTCACCTCAGTCCCAACCAGTAGTGCACAATTGCCAGGCCGCCGATTCTAGCGGTATTAATCACCTATTGCTTCTGTAGTAATGTTGAGAAGTCCGGAATAGCCGGAAGCATGCACGCACGCAAACTTTCATTTCAGGCAGTTGTATCGCACAGAGCATCAAAACATTTGCTATCATTTTTACATCGTTGGGCATTCTTGGCGTCGATGGAACAAGATCCTATCAATGATTCTAGAAGGTCGTGATCTTCCCGCGACATAGACTCCTCTAATTAACATAGGCTCTTGCTGATAATGATGTTGCACTGTACGGACGTTTACCGATGAAAAGAATCATTCCAAAGATCGTGGCGACGCTTTTTTCATATCTATCACTTCTAATGTTCTTTAGCATCCCAAGGGCATTGCATTAGCTTATCTCATTCTCCCGTGGGATTAACTATCCCTGCAGTGTGGTATGTAAGAGGACGTGATATCAGTCAACCGTAACAATTTCCCATCTCTATCAAGAATTAGAAGGACGTCGTTTGTGCAGGAGCTCAGATACTGGCAGGTGACAAGGGGAACTCTACACGAATATTACTGGAGTTTTGCTGCTGTAACAGGTGCAAATCTAGGTGTATATGTGCCGAGGGGCAAGCTATGCTTTGCCATCGCTAATGAACTTTCCGTCAGTTTAGGCTTGTCTGTATTACATGAAACTGGTCAGATTTTCTTGTATAGGCGACACTGGTGCCAACGCCTGAGGCTCGGCCAGCCGCAAGTAGTCCGTGCTGATCCCTTCAACAAGTTCCGCAGGCTACAAAGTCTATAAGAAATAGCAAATATTATACACCTCGGGCAG